GACACCGGGTACAGCTGAATGCAAGCTAGGCGAGCACATGATCGAGGATCTGCCCACATGCGGGCCATGTTGAAGGCCATGATCTTAATTAAAGTAGGGGCCGGTCGGCGCCGGCGGCTTTAGCAAACTAGCTAGATTGTACGTTTGTATATTGCATCGTCGACCGGCCTTAATCGGTGCAAGCCGGTGCGCCTTGTCTCACGATTCAACGCGTGTGAAATGATTGACGCTCAGTAGCCGTCTGTCACTACCGTCGACATATTGCACAATGCAGTGTAAGAGCTTGCATCACTTGCTGCCACCGTCAGAGTCACTCCATCGAGTATTTTAACTCGACCCTTTAGTGGGGATCTAACATCATCGAACGGTGTGAGGCAAAAAGACCAAGAGTCTATTACATCATGAAAGAAATTACTGTTCTCATCTCGTTAGTCGGGGTGAACGAAAGAATGTTACCTAAGACTCTGTCAGCTGTGGTTGTACTCTAATCTGCTTCAACTTGTCAGAGCTATAACTGCAACGCTTAAAAGGTACCTTCCTCCTTAGGATTCGTCTACAGACGCCAGACAGAAACAATGTTATTAGGTTCCACAGATTCTCAACAAGGCGAAAGAATAAAGCTTAGACGGACACAAACGACGTCATATACAACCAGGACTTAGGACTTCAATTTGACCGACTGACGGTGCGTGGGAGGATGCGCTTCAACGTCTCCCTTGTGCGGCGGCCTCCACTTTCAAGGACGCACTTGTCCGTCCACATGCCCGCTACCTTGCATAATCGATTTCAAGTTACGAACCGGAGGTTCAGCAACCCGTGTTCAAACCCCTTTCCACCCTTTTGACGTTCGGAGTTCCAGTCGAAGCCGCTTCAGATGGTGGACGCTCGAAAGTTGCGGCAATCGAAAGCCCCATGACCGCTTCTTGAAGACATGACTTCTTTTTTCATCAAAGACTATGAACTTCAACACAACTTTCCAACACGGTCAGCCGAACTAAGCGGCCGACTGCCGACGAAGCGACGACCCCGGTGAAGAACGCGGCGTCAGCCCCAGCGCTGCATCGCCGTTCACTTTCCGCTCCTCCTTAGGGGATCCTTCCATGCTCTTCCGGAAGCGGAACCGCCCGGAACCACCGAGGCCGGAGCCAACGCCGGAAAGAACGCTCTTGCCCATGCTGCCCGCCAGCTTGGCGCCGCTGCCGATGAGCTGGAAGAGAAACGTGGTTAGGTTAGTAAATGGGTCGGAGGAGAAACGCGGTTAGGTTAGTAAATGGGTCGGAAGAGAAACGCCGTTGGACTGTGAGATGGGTCAAGGCAGAAGTTCGAGAAAATCAACTCCGTCACAAGGCGGTCTGGGAAACGTCTGAAAGAGCAGGCGGGGCCGCCTGCCGGCTTGGCGTCACTGTCAATGAGCTGCCAAACAGACGCGATTCACTAGAAAGTGGGTTCAGGTACAGGTCTTCGGAGAAGCTTTTCCTTTGAGCGGGATTGACCTCACGGTTGTAAAACTTTGAGACAAGGTCAAGGTTTTCCTGAGTTTTCGCCCAACCTGCGCCATTGTCAATGAGCTGACCGCACAAAAGCGGTCAGTTTAAAATTAGCAAATGGTACCCGGCCAGATATCACCGGAAAAGCTTCGTTGGTGAAGCTCGGTGAGGAGATATGGAGGTTGACGTTCCAAATAGAAAAGATCTGCTTTCGAGGCGGCCTGCTGATGAGCTGGCGCCTCAAAGTGGTGTCCCGCATTTGACGGAGAGCATCTCAAGATGGCTGTGACTTCACCTTATCACTACGAATACCCTTGACCGAGTTGCCGAGCGCTACTCGCTTGGCTCCGCCTCCTTAGTGTCACTCCTAAATTTCTCAATCTGATCAGGAAGGGAGGAATAATGGCGGGCGTACTCACTTTGCCTGCGGCCCTGCGCCGCCGTCCACCATGCCTAGATTGGCTCTCGAGGCCAACAAAGTACAGCAAGAACAACAAAAACAACTGGACCAAACTGGAAACGCATACAAGCGAAAGACACGGACCACGGACTTGTCAAATGGGGGACGCCGAGCGCACTTACTATTGCCCCCGCCCCCGCAGCATTGCCGACCATGCCTAGTTTGAATTTCAAGGCAATCAATGAAAACAGCAAAAGAGAACGAGTTCGGGCACTCAACTGCCAAAACCAAACCAGATGCACTTAAAATACGTAACAGAGGACCAACGGTCTTTTTATCCGACGACATGGGTGGATGCCAAGCGCACTCAGTCTGGCCCCTGCCCCTGCAGCGTCGCCGACAATGCTTAAATTGATCAAGTCGATCAACGAAGTACAGCAGAAGAGAACGATTACTGGGCATTCAACTGACAAACCCAAACTAGAAGCACTTGGCCACAAACCAAGGAGTCAATCAATTAACGGCATGGGTGGATGCCAAGCGCACTTAATTTGGCCCCTGCCCCTGCGGCGTCGCCGACCATGCCGACACTGAATCTCAAAGCGATCAACGAAGTACATGAAAACGATTACTGGGCGTTCGACTGACAAACTCAAACCAGAAGCTCTTGAAAACGTGAGCGGACCCAGAGTTCATTTAGTAACGGCAACATATGGATGCCATGCCCACTCACTTTGGCCCCCGCCCCCGCGGCGTCTCCGACCATATCCACGGCTCCCCCTACGACGCCGCCGGAGCCCTGCTGCTTGCGCGCCTCGGCGGCCGCCGCAATCTTTTCCATGGCGGCCTGCTGCTCCTCCTTGGTGTACACGTGCCACGTCAGCTGCACGGGAGTGACGTCAGCCGGGTCAGACTTGGTCAGGAAGAGGCGGATCTGCTTTTACGGATCTGGTGGTCAAAAGCTGCCCTCGATGGCGCCAGCAGGGAACAAGAAAGAGAACGTAAAGGGAGGCATGAATCTGCAAAACAAGGAACACGAACGAACAGAAGAGGAAAGCGATGGGACAACAAGCAAGAACACACTAAGGAAACCTCAATCTAGAAGGCCGCAAAGAAAGTCCTCTAAGACAAATGATGGCGGTTCCTCAGCAAACAAAAATGATCAGCCAGAGGTCAAACCGCGAGATGAACACTTCTCCAGTTTCTCAAGACCGCAATGTACGGTTCAGAGACGGCGCCCCTTACCTTGACGTGTATCCTGCCGAGGTCCTTCTTGGACTGCCCGACCTTCTTCTCGTCGTCTTCGTCCAGCAGGTCCAGCCAGTACTCGGTGGGCGTGTCGGGCGGGAGCGCGTGGAACTCCACCGTGGCACTGCCCATCTTGGTGGCGGCCGTCAAGCCCAGCATGTCATAGTCCACCACCTGACACCAGATTCTTGGTGTTAAGATGCGTTTCTTTTCTTCAGAGTGCTTTTCACTGACCATTTTCTGACTGACAAGAGTCCTATTTTCTCGCAAAAGGTGGCGGCCGGTCGTAATTAACTACCTGACACTAAGTGTTAGCGTGAAAATGCATTTGTCCGGCGTGTTTCACGCTGACCATTCTCCGACTGCTGGACTTCATTTTCTCGCAAAAGGGGGCGGCAGTCAGGCCCAGCATGTCGTAGTCCACCAACTGTGACGAGGGTTTACGTACAAACTCAATCTCTCATTCGAGATTTTGACCATGTCCCGACTTGCTACGAGTGTCTCATCTCGCCAGAAGTTGGTGCTGTCAGGCCCAGCATGTCACAGCCCAGCACCTGACACGCATAAGGGGAGATTCCGAAAGTTTGTGTACGGAGCAGTTCACTTTGTCTGTTCTCGTCTCGGGAGATGTCGGTGCTGTTGGCCCTAGCATGTGATGCATCTGCCAAGCCCAGACGGACTTCACCTACCTCCCCTTTTTGTCAAGTTGGGAATTCCTTTTAGATCTTCTGTAAGAGTCAATTCTTAGCAAGAGCTCGTTGGCATTGTTGTGTCCGGCTAGTTACATAAATTAGCAGTTTCAATCAGAGTGCTTTCACGATAGCGGCCTCTAAGGTCTCTAATGTCCCCCACGTGTCTTATGCAACGGGTGATTACGTTTTGAGAAACAAATTCGAATGTTTCATAAATATATTCAGAGTTGTTTAGAGCTCCTACTTCTGGCAAATAAACCGCCGGCACGGGTGACCTTTAGAAAGAATGATAAACAGAGTGCAGGCGCTCAAAAGAAGAATTTTGCAACTCCAATCTTGCTGCAGTGAGCGAGCAGGTTCAATGGCGCGCATAGCTGCAAGGACGGGAAACCTGCAGCAGTCATGGCGACCAAGGACGTGGCGTCTATGCCTCCAATTCGCCAGAATCGTGGGTCTCGGGACGCCTTCTCTGAGGATGGAACTCAAAGGGCCTCTCACCTTAATGCACAGCTTTTGCAACTCGGGGTCTTCCACGTCCATGTCAAAGCTCTCGTCCCAGACCTGCACGTAAAACAAGATTTGCTGTGAACTGTTTCAAAGCGAATCAGCATTCAGTTGGACAGGTGACTCGGATCAAGCTGAGGCGGACAGTGGGTTGAAATGGGTAGCGCTAAGAAGTTGACTGCGAAATGCTTATCAGGCGCTAGAGTTGTCGCACTAAGCACTGAGCTCGAAGGTCCTGAATCGGTCGAACATACTTGACGCATCACAGTCTCTTACAAATTGGAACCTTGCTCGGACACCGGAGTCAACGAAAGCGGAGACAATGCAACTTTACGTCCCTGCGGTTCCACAAGCCGAGGGCCGCAGGCTTCAGGACTTAATCTGGGAGAAAACGAGTAGAGGCCTCACCGGGGTGAGCGTGTTGTTGACCTTGCGCGTCTGGTTCTTGAACAGTGGGCGCACCCACGCAATCGCTAGCGGGTCGCTGGTGCCCATCGTGACTGTATTGCGCAGCCCCTCCGCTTTGACGAGTGCCACCGTCAGCTTCCCCACCGGGCGGAGCTCCAAGTCGCGGTAGTCACCAGGTAGAATGGGCACCACGATCCTGTGTCCAGAAAGAACACGACTGGTTGGATCAACGGCCGGAATGTTGGTTCAACTTTTCTTTCCGTTCGACAATGATGCATGTTGGTCAAGCCTGTTCAGCTACTTCGGAGGCTCCACGGGCCACAGGGAAGCTCCACCTCGCAGTCGTCATCCAGCAAAATGGGCACCACGATCCTGCTTCCGACTCAGGAGATAAAGTTGGTTGATCTGACGAGATTGTGTGCTAGTCCCTTTCCGCTTGGAGATAACCAACCTCGGTGAAGCCTGTGTCTTTTAGTCAGCTTGCGACTGGACGGAGCTCCAGTTCGGCGCAAGCGCCGAGCAGGACAAGCACCACGACCGTACTTTTACCAAGAAAGACATCTGTCAAGTGTTTGCAGAGTCCAACTTCCATCAAAGAGTAACCAAGCGCGGTGAAGCCTGTTTCGCTTTAGTAGCGGCTTGATTACGGTGCAGATTGTTTTAGAAATCAATCAAGCTTGAGTAGTGACCCGTCATATCGGGTTAGTGCTCAATACTGCCTTTCTGGTTACGATACACAAAGCCGTGGGATTCCAAAGACGAGGCCCTTACCGGCGTGGCCACAGCAACGAATCTTCCACGGCGTTCACGATGATATCCTGCAAACAAAGCACAACAAGGCTCATTTTTCACAGGCCGCAAGTTACGAGCCTGAGGAGGAGATCGGGCAGCATCGCCGGTGTGAGAAAAACCGCCACTTGAGGGGCCATCTCCCGCTCCAATCCAGCTCGGAGCTTCTTGAAAGCGAGCAAATTTCTCAAACTTCAGACTTCCGTTGTAACGAGACTGGTCTTCTTGGTCTGATTGCCAACCTTCGTCGAACTGCCGGAAGTAACCTGGAACCAGTTTAGTCGTTCTGCGCATGGTTTGCGCCAGGGCGATCGCTCCAGTTCCATCGCCGGCCTCTGGGCCACACGTCAGGCTTGCCGAGAGTGTCTTAACTTACGACACGGAAGGAAACACAATATTGAATCACAGGAGCGCTCTCCCACCTTGATCATCCCTTGGATCCCGGGGATTGCGCCCAGGTTCCCGCCCACCGCCTTGAGAGTGTAGTTGATCGTAGGCTGCACGAAGCGCGAACGTCAGTTCAAAGCTCTTTTTCTCAAGCAGTGTTGACGGGGAGCAGCGCAATCATCCGTGGACAAGAATGGAAAGCAAGGGCCAGGATGAGGCACACATGAAAGCAACGGATCCTTTGCCCATTATGCCTCGAACGGATGAGTGGAAAAGGGGACACAACTGAGGAGGGAAGGACAGAACGAGGGACCCTCACTTGTTCAGAGAGCGAGACAAGCGTGGCTCCGAAACAGGCATAAGGTGATGGTCCGAGACAGCCTCTGTTTTGTCTGAAAGAAACGAGGAGAAAGAAAGACGGAGCAACACTTGAAGGAAGGGCCAACAAAGGAGGAACGAGCGCAAAGATGATCTCTCACCCGCTGCGAGAGCGAGACGAGCATGGCTCCGAAGCAGGGGAAGGCCTCCCCCGTGAACTTGGAGAAGGAGATGCGCACGAGCGCAAAGACCTGGAGGTCCTTGACTTGCACGGGCAGGGACACGCCCGTGAACGTCTTGATGCCCAGGATCACGCTCGGGTTGCCACCTGCACCATCGGACGGCCAGCGAGATCCAGTCAGTTTCCCAGATTTTGTGGCAAAATAATCCTGCAATACCCACCGTTGCTGCAACACTTGAAGGCTGCCCTTGAAGAGAGGTGTTGACTTGGTCTCCAGTTTGTTTTCCCGAAACAAGCAAGCTCGCCTTCACGGGGTCATCGAGGGGTGATACTGAAGAGTCGGCAAACGTGTCCAAAGTGATCTCCGAGAGAATCGTGTTTCGCACGAAACTAGATTGTACGAGACTTTCATACGGCCAGACCTTTGTGCGAACAGGGTAACAGAGATAAACTGTCTAAGCGTACAACTTCTACACGTACAATTTTTCAGATTGCAAACCCCATAAGAGAAAATTCTTAGCACCTGGACTGCGTCTCACTGTCGGAAACATCCTGAAGTCAACCGTCTTTGAACGATGCAGAGGAAGAGCAGTCCACCGGTTGAGCGGGAGCAAAGCAGATCAAACTACGGCGAGACACGTTGGCGAATGGTCTGGAGACTCGAGGAAGCGAATACGTACCCCACTTGAAGTCAAGCTCCAGAACGACCTCCTCCCCTTTCTTCGACTTGATCCTTACCCCTGGAGAGATGAAGTTGTTGGAAATAGCATACATGAACGAAAACAGTGGACGTGAGTAGTTCTGGTGATTTGAGTGTCCTTTGCGTGTCTGAAGAGACAATTGTACAACCAGAATCATCTTTCATGGAGACCGTGTCCCAGCAATGACCCGTCTGCAAAGATCATCCTTCTCCCATCAACGATGATATTCGTGCCCGACCTGTATCATGTTGCGGAAGTTGACCGAGAAAGTTACCCCGACTGCACTCGGCCTAAGCATTGGCCAAGTCACCTCAATAATCGGCCAGATCACCTCAATCGGGACACGGTTGTACGTGACCTGGCCTCGTGACCAGACTGTCCATAAAACACAGTGCTCTTTGACACATGGCAATCCTCACAAATGCTCACCCCCACTGACTGCAAGAAGTGGCAGTACACTCTCACCTGCGATCTGGGGGGCCGTGGTGCCCAGGGTGAGCTTGGTGAAGAGCAGGCTCGAGATGAGGGGGGGGCGGTACTGCGCCAGGATGGGCTCAACTGACGCCTTGATAACTGCTGACGCGGCCTTGCTCACGTATGGCCACAACTCCTTAAGTTCCTTGTTAAGCCAAACGACCTGCGAGATGAAGGAAAGGGATGTTAACAGAACTGCTTGGGTCTCCGTCTTGAACCTCCACGACACAAAGTGGCCTCATGAGTTGAGATGTGTTTTGCCGAGAGATTGCAGGCTTGGACATTGCAACACTGTTTCTTTTTTCATGATGACTTGAAGCACGACGTACGACCTGTGAGCAGAGGGAGGGGGATGCTTCACAGGGAGGAACTTAGAGCTCTGTTAAGTACATATTCACTTGAGAAAATGAAGGCGGCCTTGTCAACGTACATGGCGTCTCGTGGAGCATCTTGTTGAGCCACATGGCCGGTGAGGAGAGAAAAAGATGGTCTAAGCTTTGTGGACATATTTGTCCGTTGTCCAGATGGTAAAAGGAGTTGACTTCAGAGATAGAAGGGCTCAGTTAGTGAAGCAGTCAGTCAAGTAGGCCCCAGGGTCCACTGACCGTTCTGGATCATCATGACCAGGCTTTTGAAGGAGGACCGCAGCATACAGTCGCAGACTGGTAGTCAGCTTTTGCGAAGCTTAGCAATCTGACGGACAAGGTAGGAAGTGCCAGCCACACTTCGCCCAACTTGCTTGCGACTGCTGAGGTCGGACCATGATAGAGCGGCATATGCAGACGCACCCGCTGCGACCATTGATTGTTGGTCGCACCACCACAACTTTACAATCATCCAATGAAAGCGTGATGACATCAACGACTACCTTCACAAAGATTCAATAGGCGTAAACAAGAATCTACAAAGATGCAAACTATCTGACCATTGCCCCTAGACCCTGCCATGCTCTGCTTCGGGACGTTAACTCTCACACACACTCACCCGCTCGAACTCTGGGAAGTTGATCCACGATGGCACATCCTTCTCCCCGCACAGTTTCTTAAGCCCCGCAATGTCAATAGCCGCCAGACTGGCAATCTCCACAGCCTGCAACATTGTACAATGATGTACGTTTTAGTGAAACTGTTCCAAATGTAGCAGACAAGGAAAGTGATATGTGATCGCTGGTGCGATCAGGTCTACACTCTTGGGGTAGGACTTTGAAACATCAAGATGAAAACCAGCTGATGTACTTGTCGCAAACTCGGTGGATCAGTGTGTACCGGCGCCACAATTTGCAAGTCGGGGGTTGCTAGCGTACGGATATGGGCTTCAGCTGGGGACAAAAGGGTGCATTGCCTGATCCGCTACAAGGATTTCCTAGGGTGAGCACACGGCAGCCTTGTCATGTTCTTTCATTGCCAACAAGAGGCCTACCTCACATCAGCCAAAAGGGGAGAAGTATTCTTCCAAACGAAAATATCACTATAGAAGTTTTGCAATGCTGCAGAATTGTGACACGACCGCAAGATCCTGATCCAGGCCCCTCTCATTCAGAAGGGTTGCAAGCGCACAAGTCCATCAGACATCGCGCCTCACCCTCTGCATTCTGGAGACGCTCCTCTTGCGGGCACAAAATGCAAGGCCAAACATAATGACCACTCCAATGCTGACACCAAGGAAGAACGAGAAGAAGAACCCCATGGCTCCTCGGGAACTGGCTACGATATTGTGCGACAGGTCGATTCGATCAGCGCTTGTCAATGCTGGCCAAAGCAGCCAAATGCAGGAGGCCCCCTGCCAGGGGCCTGGGCCCCTAACACTAGTCCTATGATAGGCTGGCGCGTATACATGGACAGTCGTTGCAGATAAACGATCGTTGCAGATGCTGAAGACGCAGGGTGGAAATGCGGGAGACGTTTGAAGGAGCTCGAAGAGCTGTGTTGACTACTTCAAACTTCTTCTTCCTCCTCCTCAGGTGTCAAACTCAGCTGTGTTGAGCAGTCCCCTGAGCGAAACCGTTCCGCAGGAATTCCGCGAAAAGACGATCGACCTGTGCACATTTCCACGAGGAAGAGGCCTGAAAGCTATGGTGTGAATGCAAAACCCCCGACCTGAAAACCCACTCGGTAACACAACGGCACAGCGCAAATCAGAATATAAATTCACCCGGGGCTTGAGGCCGGGTGTTTTGTTGTGCCCCGTTTACATCACTGTCAGAATCAGCAGCAATTGCACATGTAACCGTTGGAATCTGGGTCGCGGATTCACTTGCGCGCGGAAAACCTTGAACAGGGTTTCCTGCTTCGCGAGGAAGGCCTTGGCTATGGCTGCCGGGGCTGCTGGCATGTGCTAGGGTTGATGAAGCATGAGGTTGTTCACGTGATATTGGACCCTGTTTCGTGGTTGTTGTTTGCCCTTGGATCAGGCCCTTCCTTGTGAGCAGTAAGAGGAGAAGGGAACGGGTTTGAACGCGTCAGACAGACAGTTCCTTGCCCTTGTCAGGGTGTGTGAGGCATCACCTTTCTCGGCTGAGGACTTACAAGGGGCACACAGCCATGCGCATCTCGAGCATTTATGACTAGGCCCTGCAGTAATAGGTACCCAGGCACAGGTTTGTGTGTTGCGAGGGTAGGTTTGCCAGTCTGTGCGTACCTTGGCGACCAGCTGTTGGAATAGGGGCCAAGGATGTTGCTCTCACCAATCCCAGGCCCCAGGCCGGCTGCCCCTCAGAGGGCAGAGCCAGCAGCGGGGAAGAACTCATGGCAGAGCGACGCCGACACTCCTGACCGGCAGGTCCTCATTGAACACATGTGGGTAACCCTTCACAGATCCTGCTGAATGATCCTGTTTGGAAATCCTATCTGGCGAGGCGCTGGAGGTGTCAGGGAGAGGCATACCCACTTGGGTTAAGCTTGCACCTAGCCTAGCTATCAACTTGATTGAGATCACACAACCTCAAAGAGACTTTTGGTTATCAGTTTAGTAGGTTGTCGCATCCTGCAGTCATGCAGATGGCATCTACTCTGGAGCTCACCCTGAGTTGTGTTATCTAGTAGTCAGTGACTGGGTCTTGGCACAACATTAGACCCATGCGGGTGAAAGCTTAGATGGTTTGTGTAGGTTGTCGATTGCACCTTGATTATTCTTCAATGCTATGACAAGGTTGCAGGGCTGCAGCAAACGTCAAGCATTCTTAGAAAGCATCGCAGTTTTCAGAGACAGTTCATAGCTTCAGCTGGAAGGAGTCCAATTGTCTCGTGTGGTTGACTTCGGTTGCAGCCTGTTCCCAACACCTGTCAACAAGTTACTGTTTGGAATCCTGTTTCTTCAAGGTTGTTCCTCCAGTCGCTTTCTTTGTGTGGGATAACGATGTATTGCAGGCAGCTGTCCAGATTATTAGCTGATGTTTCTGCAACAGTTGGCAGGCAACTGGGTACCAGGGTTGTTTCTAGGGTTCTATCATGGTAGATTTCTGAGTGTACTAGCTCTCCTTCGAGGATGGTTCTACACTCAAGTCTGTTTGTAGAATGCTGTCTCATGTAAATGTGTTCTGCGTCACAGTACGTTGGTTACTTCATCCCAGAACATTATGTTGCTTGTGCCCTACTCAGAGATTGGTGCAGGGAAGCTTGTGTTCTTCTGGAAGAACGCAGGGAGTCAGCATTACTACTCTTGAAGGTTTCTGAGGTGGCCCGCAATCCAAACTCTGATCTTGTTGAATGATGACTCTGTTAAACTTTGGTGAACTCTGGTGAACCTCAGGTTTCTGAATGATTGTAACTCTTCTGCTGCAGTTATAATCTGTTCAAGAAGAAGAGGCCAAACTTTCCTCCAGAATGGGCTATCAAATTTCCAGACTTTGTGCGGAGATTGGAGGAGGCTCTTTACAGGAATGCTCCCACCAAGGTAAGTACTGCTATTCATTCGCACTCTTGCATCTTCATCCCTGCTGAATGCATACGACTCCACCAGACTTTCAGTTCATAGATGTTTATTGTTCCAAGAAGCCTGTGTCCGCCTTCTGTATTAAGTCTCACCATGACCCACTTCTTCGGTTGGAAGTCTGACGTCAGGTTGTTGTAAGCAAAGATCAGCACAGACCTGGTGTCTCCTTGTTTCTCTCTGTTTATGAAGGTTCGTCAATGCCAAGTGCTTCACATCTTTCAACAATTAGTAAGGCCTAGCGTTCGTTGACATACATCACGCGTTGGTTGCCCCTTCCTTGCGTGATACTAAAAGACCCTGCACTGAAACAGATTCTTCTTACTTGACGCTCGATTCCTTCCCCCTTGTACATCCCCTCTCCTCGGGACTTTTTACACTTCACCTTTGGAGTCTTATCCCTGTTCTCCAAAAATGAGAACTCCCCCGAATTGCGCTCACACAAATGTATCTCGGATGTAGGCGGACTACATCGATGTGAGCACGCTCGAGGTGCGCCTCCAGGACGTTGCAAAGAAGATGCACGTCCCCAAGTCCGGAGCCCGCGCTCAGAGCGGTTCGCAAACCCCTGGAACCCCGGGCCATAGCAGCTCTTCCAGTGGGGCCGCCCAGGCGAATGGCCTCTTCTCTAGCGCTAGCAACACTGCACAGAGCACCCTGATGAAAGCCCCAAACGGCGTGGGCCCTGATGGGAAGACTCCGCTTGTGGGGAATCACATGGTGAACGGGGTTACGGAGGGGGCTGTCATGCAAGGAGTCAATGGAGCTTCGATGGGGTTCGGAGGGCAGGCAAGGCAAGGGGGAGCTCCGGGCGTTGCCATGACAGGTGCGTTGCTTATGTCAGACTGATTCAAGGTCTTGTTTGACCAAACTTCTTTTCGTTGTGAATCGGAGATCATGAGTTTTGTCATGTGTTGTTTTCTTATAGTTGTCATCATTGGCTGATGAAGTTTAGGGTTTTGAAGGTTTGGATAATCAGTGCTTAGTAAACATGAACTTCTGATGTTATGCGGACAAACAAAGGACGTTCGTTGCTTGCCTCTTATCACAAGTAGGGTTTCTTTAGGCTTTTGAGGTTTACTATAATACACACCATGCCCTTCTTCCCACCCCTTTTCTGTTACATCTCTCACATAGGGCCCAACTTTGATGCAAGCAGTGCACAGGTGTCCAATTCTGATGGGTTTCGCATGTGCCTGTTTGAGATTCAAGGTATGAATCCACTGTGAGTAAAGACAAAGGCCGGTGAACAGCCCAAATGCCGCAACTTTTTGAATCTGTTCATCTTTCTTGCAGAAATGTCAAGTAAGTCAGGACTTCTGGTTTTTTGTTGTGAGTACGATTTGACTCAGATGCCTTGGTTCATCACTTACCTACCTGTTTGTTCCTGTTGTCTGACAGTTGTTTACCTTCTTGTTTCCAGGCCTGCCCCCGCCAAACCCTCAGCTCAACGGCCTCCTCTCCCCCCAAGCCTCTCAATCCTCCGCCCCCTTCCCCGCCAACGGATCTTCCGACCTCCAACAACAACACGCGCGCGAGCTGGCTCAGTTGAACCTCCAGCACAGCGCCCAAAACGAGAAGCTCGCAGCGCAGCAGATGCAGCAGCAGGCCGCCTTGCGAATTGCCGCCACTCAACAAGGGGGGGCGGCTGGCCCAGCCAACGGGGCCCCCCTGATGCACGCTGAGTCGGGCATGGGGTCGCCGCCGACCCCCGGGGGGCGTTTACCGGGCACTCCGCAGCAGGGGGGCATGCCGGTGGGTGGGGACGGAAGGCCGGCTATGGACGTGCTGATGCGACAGAAGCAGTATCAGAAGCAACAGCGGTGGCTGCTGCTGTTGAGGCACGTGAGCAAGTGTACTGCGCCGGAGGGGACGTGTACGGCCGTTGCACACTGCCACCAGGTAAAGAGGATTGTGAAGAATCCTTGGGCCCTTGTCAATGATATGTCCCTTTTGGCTTAGACTGTGATTGAAGCTGTGAGTCGTGGCCCTGCCTGTTGCTTTCCGGAACCCTCTCTTGACGCGTTCTTTAAGCCAGGCCGTTCTAGGAGCCATCTTGGAAGTCGGATCTTGATTTCAAATCCAGGGTCGGATAGGGGAAGTCATATTGCAGACAGTGTGGACGAGTCATGGCTCGTTACAACGACCTCTTGATTGTACATGTTCTATGTCTCCTCGTGAAGAGAGTAAGAGTAAAAGTCGTTCACTCAATTATCGTGCATAGTCTAAGACTCTCGTTTCAAGTTTTACCCACTCCTGACCATCGTTTCTTCCCCCTCTGCCAGGCGAAGCAGCTGTGGGCGCACATCTGCCAGTGCCAGGACGTGGACTGCAAGTTCGACTCGCGCTGCATGCCCAGCAAGACGCTCGTCAAGCACAACACGTCGTGCCGCGACCAGCGCTGCCCCGTCTGTCAGCCGGTGCGCGAGATCTTACATCAGCAGAAGCAGGTGCTGATGGAAGCGGCCGCGCGCCAGGCCGAGGAGCTCCAGGGGGGGGCGAAACGGCAGAGGATAGAGGGCCCCCCCGGGGCGTCGCAAGGGGCGAATCCGCTGGTGAAAGCGGAGGACGCGGCCAGCCAGGGGTACCCCGTGAAAGCGGAAGGGGGCCTGAAACCGGACCCCGGGGCGATGAAGTTCGAGCCGGGCAGTGCGGGGGTAGCCGGGCGAGCACCCGTAACGAAACAAGAGCTTGTAGCGGGTGTGAAAAACGAGGTCCCCGGGGCGTATGCGCACCGGGGGGGGTCGGGGGACATGGGCGCGGAGCAGGGGGGTAAGATGGTTGTTGTTGACCCGAACAGGGGGAACGTTCACGGGGCAGTGGTGCCCCATGCGGCGCAGGATGGAGCGGGGGGAAGTCAGGCGAAGGGCGGCAAGCCGAAGGTCCAGGGGACGTCCCTGACGGAACTGTTCACGGCTTTCGAGATCAAGCAGCACATACGGTCGCTGCGGTCCTGGATCTACCAGGTGGGTCAGCTTTTCGGGCCTTTCCAATGATTCGCACGAATGTGGGTGGGTCAGCTTCGTAAGCCGTCCAGGAACAGCCGAGTTCGAAATTTATTGAGGGGCCTGGTAGAGATGCATATGCCGTTTTCAAGGGAATTAGCCGGTTACTGCCAAGAAAGGGCGGAAGGGATAAAAACTTTGCCCTCACCAGATCCGACTCTCATTTCGAAGAGTCACGTTTTTTCTGGAGTAGCTCTCGACTCTCGAAGACACCACTCTCATAGGGAACACGACGGCGGATTTGATTTGTGTTCGAGTCGTCAGTCTCCGTGCAAATACTCTCCGGCGCCGTAACAGGTCTCCTAAATGTTGCGAACTCATCTTTAAAGGTTGCTTCGTCAGCAAGGTGCTTGATCACGATCATCTCATGCATCATTTCACAGATGGTGGGAGGGAAGTTCACGTGGTGCTTTTTTGAGAATCATACCGACTTTCCTTGTGCAAAGGGCAGGGTCGTCCTCCTCCTTGAGTCCACTTCTTGGAATACGGGAAATGTAAGTTGGGGTTTTGGTGTATTTTCTGACCTTTGCTAACTTCCCATGCAGCAACCGCCCCCTCAGAAGGGCAAAGGCCAGGTTGTGCTCATCCTTGAATTAACCGCTTACATCAGAGAGAATTGAGACAGCTGTTTCCTCAGACTCTGATCTTCATGAATGAACCAAGTTCTAACCTTTGTGAAGCTCCCGCTGCAGCAACCGCCCCCCCAGAAGGGCAAAGGCCAGGCGGCGCTCGTCCCCCGGGTGGACCCGCACAACCTGCCCGAGGACGCCTGCCAGCTGTGCGGGCTCGTCCGGCTCTCGTTCGAGCCGCCCCCGCTGTACTGCACGCCATGCGGCGCGCGCATCAAGCGCAACGGAGTGTACCACTTTGTGATGGCGGGCACCGACACGAAGCACGTGGTGTGCACGCAGTGCTTTGCGGACCAGCGGGGGGACACGGTCGACATCGAGGGGCACCAGTTCCCCAAGGCCAAGCTAGAAAAGAAGAAGAACGACGAGGAGGTCGAGGAGGCGGTGAGCGGGGGGGTTTGGTTGGGTTTGTCTGTGGAGCTGAGCTGTGTTGTCTTTCCTATTTCCGGTCGGATACGGAATCCGAGCTCGGCAGAAGTTGAAGTGCATCCTTGGCATCACGAGAAGGGGAGCATTTCCTCGTAGTCCTGTTGTGTGCCCGTGAAAGATTCTGGGCCTTTTGAACGATCGGCCGCAGCTTTCTGTTTGTCTCACTGTCGAGGTTTTTGGCGAGACGCCATGAAGGATTTTCCTCGCAAGCCCTAGCCTGATATGTGGTCCCATTTCCCGTTCTCCTGTTCGCCCGACTTTTGCATAGCCTTTAGCAAAGTCGATGCTAGAAGAGCATCTTAACCTTTAAAGCACCGCTTTCTGACTCATTTCTTCGTCCGGTCCTTCTCTTCCAGTGGGTCCAGTGCGACCGCTGCAACAAGTGGAACCACCAGATCTGCGCGCTCTTCAACGGCCGCCGCAATGAGAGCGTCGACACCGAGTACACGTGTCCCGAGTGCCTCCTCAGCGGTCTCGTCGAGGGCACCCGCGCGCCGCTGCCCCCCTCGGCGGTGCTCATGGCGAAAGACCTGCCCAAGACGCACCTGAGCAACTTCCTGGAGGAGCGCCTCCAGAGGCGCCTCGGGCAGGAGCGCACAGAGCGGGCGCGGGCCGAGGGGAAGCGGTTAGAGCAGGTGGGTTAGCTTGGCTGACCTGTTTTCGTCGATTTGGGTTCTGGGGCTTTCATCAATTCGACTGCAATGTTCGTGGGCGCGGGCCAAGGAGAAGCGGCTAGGAGCAGGTGGGTGTGCTTGGCTGGCCTGTTTTTTGTTGGCTCGGCTTCTGGGGCTTCAACGACCCTGCTGCAATGTTTGCGGGTGTTCTCAGCACGGGGTTCTGGGACTTTATCGATATTGCATCAATGTTTGCGGGCACGGAGCAGGGAGAGGCGGCTGGAAACCCCCACAATCATTTGTCCGCACTTGTACCAGCCTTAAACCAACTAACCACACCCGTCCCTGGCTGGTAAGCTTACTGATTGTAAGCCTTACCCTACTTGGGGATCGATCGGTGTTTGTGCCTGGGTGACTTGTTTGCACTTATTTGGGTCTTCGAGATGCAACACCGGCTTCAAGTCTCGCGAGGGCGAGCGAGGAAAAGCCGCCTGAGCATTGAGTTTGTCGTCGGATGACCTGTTTCCGTTTATTTGGTCCGGACCTGAAGGCTCGTATCCGCTGGAGTTGGATTCATATGGCGGAGCTTACCCTCGTTCGGACCCTGGCTTTGATTTTCGTCGACCCGGGTCGTAATCACATTCTTGATGACCTGTATTGTAATTTTGGCGCGGAGGCATTAGGGGGGCTGTGCTTTAGGGAAGGGGTTCGTTAATTGAGTCTCTTTGCAGCTTCGGGTCTTCTGAAGAGTCTGATACTCATCCTTTGACGCCGGGCTGCAGGTGATTACTGCCGACGGCCTGGTAGTACGGGTAGTGTCAAGCGTTGACAAGAAGCTGGAGGTGAAGTCCAAGTTCGCGGAGCTGTTCCAGGCCGAGAACTACGCGAGCGAGTTCCCCTACAAGTCAAAAGTGAGTTTTTGTGGCCTGCTTCCTGTCTCCTTTTCGAAGCACGGAGATAGCCTTTTCAAACCTCCGTACCATGGTACCGTACCTGTATTTGATTTCGGCGACGAATAAATAATGATTTGGCCGGCTGAAATTTTCAGAAATTATCCCCGAGGCGATGATGGTTCGATAATGGTTGTTTTAGCAGGTAACGTCGAGCCTGCTGAAATGAATAAAAGTTTTCATAATTAACTATTTTGCGTCGAAGGTGCCGAAATTATATACAGGTATGGTAGTGTGCGTCTGTCCATCCGTCTCTTGGATTCTCACCCCCTCCTCCAGTAACTTGAGATTGGAGGCCGGCTTCACCTTGTTCTGTTGTGGCTAGATCAGAAACGCTTTGTCCCCTCCTTAAAGCTGGTTCTCTTTGTCTCGAAGGTCAAGGGGCGTGGCAGCATCTTCTTGTCTTCGACATGTTCGAGAAAGGAAAACATCCATCATGCTTAGGCTTTCCCGTCGCGCTCACTCTCTGTCTGCTGCTTCTTAACCTTTCCGCTCGACCTGAATATACTCCCTTAACCTTGAGATACATTGACTTACATCCAGAAAACAGGAATGCTGAATTCCTGTCCCCTTCTCCGCAGGTTGTCCTGCTCTTCCAGAAGATTGAGGGCGTAGAAATCCTGCTGTTCGGCATGTACACCCAGGAGTTCGGCACCGACGCCGAGAAGCCCAACACGCGGCGCATGTACCTCTCCTACCTCGACTCGGTCAAGTACTTCCGGCCAGAGGTCAAGACGGTCACTGGGGAAGCCCTCCGGACATTCGTCTACCACGAGATCCTGGTAAGCCGGATCAGAGCGCCATTTTGTTGCTACGTTGGTGTGGACGCTTGAAAGTTGTGGTTCGCTTTTGGATGCAGTGTGCATACCAAGTACGTTCTACTGAGGTAGAGGTTTCTGAAGGTGGGCCGTTTAGGTGTATGAAGTTTCGTGTAGGCAGGGGTCTCTGTTCAAAGCTGCTCTCTTTTGAAAGCCAAACTTGGGTTTTTCCTCTGGCGGACTAGAGGGCTTCTCCTCAGACGGGTTAGTCTTGACATCTGTCACATTTGCGAGTAGACACCTGTTTGTACAAAGAGTTTAGCTTGAAAAGTTCGGCGTAATCTGCTTGTTGAGCCTCAGCTCTGCAGCGGGGTCTAGCAAAAGCTTTGGTCGGGCTTCTGTGCATCACTCTAGCTGGTGGCACGACTTCGACCGATTGCAGTGTAGCCATTTTCCGTACCTTCTAGCCTCGTCCGGATTTTCGTCGTTGAGCCGTTTTAAATTCCCTTTCAGCGTTCTCAAGCCGCTTTGGTGCACCCTTTCCGTCACCTCGGGTTTTGTTTTGCCTCCCTGTGCGTCCTGGCTTTCCGTTGCTTTTTCGAACGCTGTCGTATGCACAATTCGTTGCAGATCGGCTACCTGGAGTACACCAAGCTGCGCGGCTTCAACTCCGTCTACATCTGGGCGTGCCCGCCCCTCAAGGGCGAGGACTACATCCTCTACTGCCACCCGGAGATCCAGAAGACGCCGAAGAGCGACAAGCTGCGGGAATGGTACCTCAGCATGCTGCGCAAGGCGTCGCGCGAGGGGATTGTCGTGGAGACGACCAACATGTTTGACATGTTCTTCATGAAAGGGGAGGAGTCGCGGGTGCCCGTCACGGCGGCGCTGCTCCCGTACTTCGACGGGGACTACTGGCCGGGCGCGGCGGAGGACATGATCCAGCAGGTGGGTTTGGATCTGGGTTTATGGTTATACGGGATTGTTAGGAAAGTGGTTAGGGCTGCCGTACTATGACGGGGACTACTGGCCGGGCGCGGCGGAGGACATGATCCAGCAGGTGGGTTCGGCCCCCGGTTAACGGTCGACTGAGATTCTTGGTTCGTAGTTGGAACGAAATTGGTCTCTGGCTGTATAGTGTCACGTTGTATGCTGCTTAGGATTGATTTAGGCTCCAGCACGTGGGCATTTCTTTGAAGAGTTGACGAGGATGGTTAGCCGCGCTGCGAGACCGCTGTTCATTATGGTTACTTGGTCGCTAGCTTGTGATGGGAAGCTTCATTTTCGGCTTATTCAACCATGATTTGCCGCGTTGATGACACCCATTATCATGATTACTTACATTATCGTGATTACTTGGTCTGTAGACGATGGATCGGACGAATTACTTTCTTGGTTTCAACCTGGTGGAAGTCGTTTGATAACCAAGTAGAGACATGCGAATGTTTCTCTACCAACCTGGGAAGTCTGAGAACTAAGAGCCTCTCTGACCTGTGCAGATGGAGGCGGAGGTGGAGGAGGCGATTCGGAACCGGGGCAAGACGGTGAAGAAGAAGGGCAAGGCGGCCGTCAAGGGCAAGGGCAAGGTGCCGCTCATGATGGAGCTGCCCACCAACGCAACCCGGGACCAGATGCTCATGCAAAAGGTCGGTTGCTCGGTCTCAGTCGGCGATGACGCCCTTTACCGTTTTCGTTGGCTTCGGTTTCCTGCCCGTTTGACTGCAAGTGCTATTCTACTTCTGCTTTTACTTCAGATTGATTGTCAGAACTCGGGAACTGTTGTCTTCAGACCGTTGATAACACTCCGGCAGCTTCAGTACACCCCTCTCAGTAGCTTTGCAATCGGACCCTACTATATTCAGTGTCCACGAGTATAAAGCGAGATGCCTAGTGGCGATAGCTCGCGCCCTTTCGTTTCGACATCAGGGGTCTGATGTCGTATCGACCTTTTGGAGCAAAGTACGTGGCCAATATCGGCAAGCCGGGTTGAACATCTTGATTCTCTTGTCGGCCTTTCTTTTAGAGGCGCCGATTTGTTGTGCCTGTTACTAGAATGGGCGCTCGCAGTGACATTATTCGCAATTGCTGGCATGACCGCGCCAATCAGTGAAGTTTACTTTAGGAGCCGAGATGAAGCAAAGCTCAAGGAAGGTACCGCTCCCTGACTGCCAAGAGGAATGTCTCCTGTCTTTGAACTTGCGTCTGCTGGCAGAAATTTCTGGTCAAGCGCCAAGCTATCTTAGCAGACTTGCAATTGCGCAAGCTACACGCTCTTAAATTCTAGCCACAGTTCTTTGAGGCGAAGGTGCGGTCTTGATACAATGTACGAAAAGGGGAGTGTTTCATGTTCAGCCGTGGTTGGTCCGTGCCAGCTCCGCTGGTTCGATTGCCAGAAAATACATGGTAGACCGCCCGGAAGGGCGGCGGGGGCTTGCCTCTTTTGTTGGGCGATTCCGGGCAGAAATTTAAAAGTGCACACCGTGGCATCGTGTGGCGTTGCTCTGATTATCTACTGTGAATTTTCGCCGTGCCAAAGCGAGTGCTGAAGTCTGTGCGCGAGCGGGCACACGCGGTACACGGGAGTCCGTACATCGTCCTGTGGGCTGAACAGTTGCAGTACGTACCGGATTACCAGTCACTCTTCCCTCCGGACACTTTCCCCCATCCTTGCAAAACCAAAGCAGCAATACTGAATGAGTCCATCGCATATAAGGGTGATTTTAATTTTGATTTGTTGGAGCGACGACCGGGGTACGCCACAGTGTCAGGTGCTCAACCGAGGTACGAACCGAAACGTGGCAGCTTCACAGCCTTCGGCATGCAACGTGGCAGGCCTTTATTCAACCTGTTCGGAGAAATCGAGGTCAAGCGTTACAATGTTACGTTTCTGCGCGTCGGCACACTCGCGCCCGCGTTCGATTCGTAGCAACATTCCACGAAGGCGCGCGGGGCAGTCTGGGCTCGGTGGCTTTTGAGGCCTGGACCTTTTTCGGGTTTTTGCGTACGTTTTCGTATCGAACTGCGCGCAACTGAAAACAGCGGCAGACTCGGCTCCCTTATCTTCCGCAGAGCCGTGTCGTACAGCGTCGCAAAAACGCGGTTGACACGAAAACAATAGTCCGCATATTTTACTGCGTAAAAGAGGCAAGCCAATATTCTGCTTGTTCCTTGGAGTTATCTGCTTTGGAGGAAGAGCCTTTCTGGCAAGCTTCCATCCGGTCATGCAATTGCTGGTCGGAGTCTAATGCATGCAAGGCACAAGGCGGGTCCTGCTGCGATTTCGGCAACGCATCAAGGTTGCTACAGACTTTGTCCTTGAATTTCTGTGGCCCTGATGATAGGCCCTATCCCGAACTTTTACGTCCTCGAGGTATATTGTTGCTGTGGTTGCATTAGCATTTGTTTTGGTTCATCTCTAAGTGAATCTTTGTGCAGGTTGTTGCGCCTGAAATTTGGAGCCCAATTTGGTGAAAGCCTGCGAAATCTGACTTGACACACCTGTACATTGTCTGCAGTCTGACTTCCTGCTCAGGCAAAACTTGCTTGACCTCCTACTTGTTCAAGAAAATCTCTCAAATGTAGATTCGATTGTGACACTGTTTCCGATCCACACATGTGTCTGTTGTGGTACTCGTTGTTTTACCCAATTGACGTATTTGGAGTTGCCAATCAAGGTACCCCAACAAAAAGATCTGCCTTTTTGGTCACTTCAATATGAGTTTGTCTGTTGGATGTTCGTCTTGCAAGGGCGGAAGAACAATAAGGAGAGGCGATGAGAAACTGCAGCCGCTCAGAGTTCTAAGTGTTTTTTGCGTCAGGGAGTTGAACGCCATCGGTATGGAAATTGACTTTGACTTCCCAGGTCACCTTGTCAGCACTGTCAAAACATTCGCAGGGATTTTATAACAGCAACGAGCTTAAAGCGTATGGGTCTCACCGTGAAAGGGTCTTATGAACGCCGGCAGGTTTTTTCGGCTGTTTGAAAGGTTTGTAGATCGAAAGGTGTGTAGATCTGCAGATCAAGTTTTTCAAATTGTTGCTCTACCCGTTTGGTCAATGTGGCGCAAAACTCGCGAAATTGCTTTCTGGCCTTTCAATGAGGAGAGTATATTGGCAGGCGTGCCCCTACTACAGTTGTCTGGTCGCTTGGAACGATATGCAGTTTCCATCCTTGAGAGCTGCGGAGTTTTCATACAATTCTGCTGTGCTCCGTTGCAGCTGGGCAAACCAACATAGAACATGACAGTATCGCGTTCCTGGTTTGTGGCTCCTGGTCCGTTGTTCGAGCATTTCGGCATGTCATACTTGAGTCCTCACATGTTATAGAGACTTGCAACCGCGGTCTCTTCCTCACAGCTGCGGAAGCTGATGAAACAATTGATAATGACTCCGCTCACGGGCGTCTTATGTCGTCTCGTTCACGGTTATGTGAGCACATTCCAACCTTCTTTTCCGTTAGGCAATGCTAACCCTTCAACCTTGTTTTTGCAGCTGGGCGAGGCGATCGGGCCGATGAAGGAGGACTTCATCATGGTGCACATGCACCCGACGTGCAGCCACTGCCGCGACTTCATCATGTTCGGGAACCGGTGGAGCTGCCGCGGCAAGAACTGCGACTTCCGGCTGTGCGACACGTGTCACGCCGCTGAGAACGCGCGGCCCATGGAGCAGCGGCACCCGCTCGGGGACCCGGAGAAGCACACCTTCTTCGCGCAGGTGCGCCGGGTTCCTTTTGCGTTCTGGTTTGGCATGAAAGCGCTTAGTGAGACAAAGCAAGTTCGACGTCTTCTTGGTCTTTTGTCCTAGGGTTTCCTCTGGTCAGGAGGGGTACGAAGAAGTACACCTTCTTGCGTGAGTGTGGCGGGGGTTTGCGTTAGGATGAAGTGCTCAGGCGCTCGCGAGGGAGTAGGGTTAGCTTGCGGGTTGAGGTATTGTTGGCTGCTACTTCCGACTTCCGTTCGGGTTGGTTGAATTGGAAGGGGACCTATGTGATACTGGGGGTCTAAACCAGGACCATAATCAAGCACGTCCTGCGTCCGGCACCCCAGAGACTGGTTGCGCACGTGAAGCATTCTGCAAATCCTTCTCGAGTTGCGTTTGGACTTTTGAAATTGCGTCCGGCAATCTCTATCGACGTGTAGGCAGATGCGACCCGACTTATTACTTGGCTTTCTTCGTTGCAGTCGAGATCAAGTGACACCCGCAGTTGCTCTAATGAAGCTCACAATCTCCCCTCCCCAAAAGCACCCCGAAAATGCCTTAACCCCCAACAATATTTCTGCCTTCTCATCGCAGTCGGTAGCGGGCGTGCCGACTGACACACGCGACTTCAGTGCGGAGGCGGAGAGCGACTTTTCTGACATGCGGCAGGCGTTCCTGAGCCTGATATTCAGGGAAATGGTGCAGCATCCGAAATCCCGAAAGACTCAAATTCTGACAAGTTTATTGCAGCCGGTGGTGGGCGTTCCGACCGACACGTGCGACCCAAACAAAGGCAGAGAGCGAGTTCTTCGATATGCAGCAGGCGTTTCTGAGCCTAACATTTGCAACCCACTATACCAGCATTCTGGCAATGAAAGGACCTGAATCTTGGACACTTGTATTGCAGCCGGTGGCTGAAGTGCCGACCGACACGCGCGACCCTGACGTGGAGGCGGAGAGTCTTTTTCTGTTTAATGCGGCAGGCGTTCTTGAGCCAAAACCCACGATGTACTGTCTCAGCATACCGCAAAGACCTAAACGGGTGACCCTTGGCTTTCTTACTGCAGCCGGTGGCGGGCGTGCCGACGGACACGAGGGACCCCGACGGGGAGGCGGAGAACGGTTTTGTTGGCAACGCGGCAGACGTTCCTCAGCCTGAAACCCCCAATGTACTATATCAGCATATCAAAAAGGAAAAGACTGAACCTACGAACCTTTTCTCTCTTACTGCAGCCGGTGGCGGGCGTGCCGACCGACACACGCGACCCCGACGCGGAGGCGGAGAGCGAGTTTTTCGACACGCGGCAGGCGTTCCTGAGCCTGTGCCAGGGCAACCACTACCAGTACGACACGTTGCGGCGCGCCAAGCACTCGTCCATGATGGTGCTCTACCACCTGCACAACCCGTCGGCGCCCGCGTTCGTGTCGAGCTGCAACGTGTGCCAGAAGGACATCGAGGCCGGGCGCGGCTACCGCTGCGAGGTCTGCCCAGACTTCGACATCTGCAGGTGGGTGACCGGGTTCTGCTTTTGCGTAGCGGTAGTGCCACAAACATGGCTGGTTATGCTTGGTGGCATTGCGTTCTTGTGCTGATATATCTCCTTCACCTGTCATGTTAAGGTGCTAAAATTTGAGCGAACTGTTCTTGATGGGTTGGCCTTTTGTGGCTCTCCCTATGATTGCGCTTGTTCCGCGGTCTGAAACGGAACCAGACCGTTTCTGCCACAGCGTGTGTGGTCTGTAAGAATTGAAGGTGAGTGGTTGAGGGCTAGACCCCCACTCCGTTTAGTTCGTCCAACGAGCTGTCATGTTGGAGCCACTGAGAGCAAGCACAGGGACTGCCAGAAGGGGACCATTTCGTGGAACTGAGATCTCGATATTGTCAGTAAAGACGTCGATGATGGGGCTGTGTTTCAGCCGGCCGCTAGATCCGGCAAAGACTTCTTTTTTCCTTAGCTCACAACCATCGGCACCCGCTGATCCCTTACCACACTAGAAGCTCGTCATTACCGGCCTCATGCTCACATACGGCCCCATCTCACATTCCTTGTCCCCCCCGTGCAGCAACTGCATGGAGGTGGGCCACAAGCACCCGCACCCGATGACCCCGCACCCGACCGCGGAGGAGCGGTCGGGGCAGAACCTGTTTGCGCGCGAGCAGCGCATGGTGGCGCTGCGCAAGTGGATGGACCTCCTCCTCCACGCGTCGGATTGCAAGGCGCCGCTGCGGTCGTGCAGCTACCCCAAGTGCCTCACCATCCGGCTGCTCTTCCGCCACGGGATGCAGTGCGAGAAGAAGGCGCCGGGGGGGTGCGCGCACTGCCGCCGCATGTGGATGCTGCTCAAGGTGAGGGGTCTAGGGCTTCAGGTTTTCTGAGTTTGTGAGTTCTTGGGCTTTAGGGACTGGGGAGGTGCGCGCATTGCCGCTGACTGTGGATGCTGCTCAAGGTGAGGGTTAATGGCTTTGGGGTTTCGGGGTTTTTTGGTGTCTTAAGGCCCGCGCACATAACTGCCGCGGCATGTGGGTGCTGCTCAAGGTGAGGGTTTGGGGCGGAATACTACTCTTTGCTCAGGAGTCTGATTGGAGTAAGGTACTTGTCGGTGGGTGGAATCCGTTCAGGACGAGGGGTTTTGTCAAGGCTGGGTGGTTTCAATGAGGACTTTGCATGGGCATGGTTATGTGGGCTGGGACGTCGCCCAAAGTACACCTGTTTGGCCATGACCCTAAATGAAGACCTCCGGCTGTGTTAAAACGTGGCCTCTCGCTTATATTTGCACCCGAATCATAAGCTCTGGTCAGATGGTATTTGATGGCACTTTTTGCTTCTTTGAAGTAATTAAAAGTCTGCGACATTGGGGGCTGCATTTCGGAGATTCCGAGCTTCTGCTGCCAACTGATTGGCGTCCCTGCTCAGACAACAATTTGTTGCTGGACAGGTCTCATTAAGGAGCAGAAACGTGATGCTACTCTCTCGATTGTTGAGCGCTTCCTGGTTTGTTTGGGCTGCCAAGGATCTGGAAAAGTGAGCTTTCTGACGACTGATTTAGCTCTTGCTCGCTGACGTGATTGCTGACGCCCCTCGTTCTTCTCGCGTCGCAGATGCACTCCCGGTTGTGCAAGCAGAACCCGTGCCCAGTGCCGCGTTGCAAGGACCTCAAGGAGCACTGGCAGCTGATGCAGCGGCAGTCAGAGACGCGGCGGCGGTACAACTACAAGGAGATGATGCGGCAACGGCAGGAGGAGGACTCGTGAGCGGAAGCCCGTTTAGGGGGGAACTAGTCCCCTCGCCAAGTTTCATAGACTGCCGGCCGGCCGTGGGGCTGCTGCCGGTTTGGGAGGCCGTGGTGTGGAGTTTGGTTAGGCCGACACCGTTGGGTTAACCGGCAATAACGAGGGGTCAAGCTGCTACTGGGGTTAGGCAGTGTAGTCGTAAATTGAGCGACAGGACGGAAGCGGTTGGCCTCGAGGATAAGCAAAAGGTGTAGGGACGGCCGGGAATTGGGGGTTTGCACCACGTGTCCCACAAAAGCCTTGAGGGCCGCCTAGGTGAGAAAGGGCGTCGGATGCCGACAGTAAAGGTGCCCTTGCATCTTCGGATGTTTGCTTTCCGTTCATGTACACTAAGGAGTCTGAGTCGCTTAGGCAATGAAAGCATAATTGCCGTCTTCGTCGTTTTTTCCTTCGACAGAAGGGAACTCTCCAAGCTTCACAAGTTCCTTTTGATGTGTAATACGAAATGCATGGCCACGAAATGCATGGCCCGGCCTTAGCCATTATACTTCGCAAGGGTCTTCCCCAATCAAAATGTTCTTTTATGTTATCCGACTCCCAAACGGGTCTGTCTATTATCATTGTTAAGGAGGGGTGGGTTCTGACCACGATCATGTCACAACGGCAAAACATGAGTTGAATTGGTTCATTGCACCCGGGTTTCGGAAAGTGCTTTGCGCTGATTGTCATCAGCTCCTCGCATGTACAGCGACCGGACATATGCGTACATGTACACATGGGCTGGCACCCTCAGCCTTCGAAGAAACGAAATGCATGCAACCATATGTACGGTTCCGTTATACCTATGCAATGCACGTCAAATCCACAACCACTTTAAAAGGACAGAAACTCGGTCCCCGTCTCTTGGCCTTATAACCCTCTAAGAGATAGGACGTACGGGACTTAAACCTGATTCTTGGACTTCGAACGTTAGCCATGGTATACCAGTGTGCCATGGCAATATGGACAATCTGCGCTGTTTGTATTGGTGTCTCAGCCCCTCTGACAGCTGAGCGATCAGCTGATAGCTGGCTAGCCGCTCACGCTCCGAAGGTAACTGTTCCGCTACCGGAACCGCTACACGGAATGACAAAGTCAACGACGGTCCTTGCCGGCATGGGCCCTCGAGTCGGGCCTTTTGCGATGATGAGTCCGTCTGCAGTGCACAATTCGGGTCGAACCGCACGGCCAGGGATCTTTGACTTTAGAAGAGTTTACAACTTGGTAACAATTCGGGGAGTTCGGCGCAGACCGACTGCGACTAGGTATTTGGAGAGTTTCCGTCGACGTCAGCAGTCTGACGTCACAAATCCTAAACCCCTGAGGTTCAGAATTTATATTCTGTTTTTCCCCCACAATGATAAAATAGATATAATTATAGTAAACGAACTTTGATCAGTCGCCAGAACGGAGCCCAGAGTTTCCGTCTGGACTCGTATCTGGGCGGCCGGATTTAAGAACCTTTGCAGCGACGCGCCAGTTTCTAGCTTCGATCTGGTGCAGGACAACCGTTTCAGTTATCTCTTTTGGATTCTACTAAATCAGCGAAGGGATGGGCGGCTGCCAGTACATTGCATGATGAACGATGTCGTGATGAATCAACCATTTTCGGTTGCTCACACACATGAAGACATGAAGTCGCGACCGCGCGAGACAATTGTGACATACATTTTCGCGGACACAAGCACACTGCTGATTGAAACGAACGCACTTGACCGCTTCATAAAATTAACGCGGAAGTACTGTTCCCAAAATTGTTTGCTTTGATCCAGTGAACAGATCGGAGTTCGTCCTCTACGAGTCAATCAGAATCGCGCAACAAGTCCAGGTGTTATCGCACCATCGAACACTGACTTGCCCCGCAGGCCAGTACGAGCTTTACGATATTATCCTTGTCGACGCTCGCTCAGCTCTCAAAAACGGCCTACCCACCCTCGCAAACTAACCGAGCTCATCTAAACAGTCGGCTATCAAACCAGCTTGATGAACCTCTTTGACAACGGAGTCGTCAGCAATCAAGAGAATCCAACAGACCTCTCCCCGCTCTAGTCGCTGGACCCAATGGCCAGCCAGTTGGCCTGAAGGCCGTAGCACAACGAGTTTGACCAGGTCTGGAAGTGGCACATGAAGTCGGTCTTCGTGACGTCCGTGACCCAGACGTCCGCGCGCACGTTGGTCGTAACCCCGAAGTCAATGAACTTGAGGTTAGCGTTAACCACCGGCGGCGCGTTGAACGCCTTCTTGAACGACACCTTGACGGCGCCGTCCCGGACGGCCGCCGTGCCGGACAGAACTGTCTGGTTCGCGGTCGCCATGCCTTGCTCCACGTACAGGCCGTTGACCGGCGGCAGACCCAGCTTCAGAGCTGCGGGAGAAGGACACGTGTCAGCTTGTGGGGGACTTAATGGAGGTTCTGGGCGTTTTCATCACAGGCCGTTGATAGAGTGCTTCAGGGCTAGGCTGCCGGAGAAGGACACGTGTCAGCTTGTGGAGAGGCAGAGCATTTTCAGTACAGGTCGTGAATCGACGCCAGGCCCTGCGCTCTTCGGAGTTAATCAAGCTTTGTAAACCTCTCGCTTCAAGCGCTGAAAACTTCTTCACCTCGAGCTTTCCAGATCTCTCAATCGAAGCATCTCAGGCTTCTCAAGGTCAATGCAAGCTTTTCAAACCCTTCTCTTCAAGCTTCTCACGCGGCCGCATTATTAACACAAACTGTTTTCTGGGAGCTCGAGGACTGATTCCCGCCAGTAGTCACAACGACCATCAACTAGATCTGACAGCCCATAAAAAATGTTGAGCACTTATATTTTTATGACGCTGAAGAACGGATAGACTATGCGCCCAAACCATCAGTCATATCTTCCCCAAGATCAGGATCGCTCAGTACATCTTAGGCCAACCAAGTCGAACGGGTAAGAAGCTCAGAACTTTCAGGCATTTAGCTTGAGTGCTGAGTGAGGAGCTTCGTGTTGACCCAAAAACTGAATGGCACTACTTTCAGGCAACGCCTGCCCAAAGGAGAACTCGAGTATATCAGTTCGATCGCAGTGGTAGGAAGCAGATCTTTCCACTGGAAACATGAATCAGATCTGTGTGCATGTAGGGGATGCTCTCTAACCAACACACTAATATTGCCATCAAATTGAGTATTTATAAAAGCCTTACAACGGCCTATATGATGACAAGGACTTGGACCACAAATTCAGAGCTGCTGCCAAGCTGAGGCACTAAACCTTCGGATTCCAGACACAGCTTTGGGGTAGCGACATTCCTAATCTTCAGTAGCAAACAACTTGAAGGCAGAGCACTCAACTGTTGACTCAATATAAGTGGCAACTGCTGTACTGATAAAACACCCTTGAGTCCCGCGCGCCAAAAGCGTGGCACTTTCGCTTATGAGCTGACCACCGGGTACGCAACCAAAGCGATCACAGGTACCAGTGCGATCTACGAACAGCCCTTAACACCACTCACCGACGGCCTGCTGCTGCTGGTCCACGAAGCTACCCATGGTGTCAGTGGAAGAACGCGGGCGGCACCGGGGGGGTCGGAGAGTTGCGAAGGAGAGAAGATGGTAACCTGGGTAACGAAGGACAGCTCGGAAGAAGCTTTAAACAAGATGTTTGCAGTTGAGAATGTGGAAATGAAGGCCATACAAAGGTTCAGTATCTGGCTTAAATGTGGGACTTCAAAAGCCTGATCGAAGCAGGCTCAATATTGCAGAAGGCTCTGTCACGGAGTCAAAAATGCGGGGCAGCCGTTGCTAGTAGTAGTATCACTGGACGGAGCGGAAAGTACCTACCTATACTAAGTAACGCCCATGGGGGATCCAGGATCCGTGTAATCAAGGAAACGGTTCAATACGACCAGCAACTTCATAGAGCATAATAGGTAGGTAGTAGGTAGTAGGTAGTAGGTAGTTCGAGCTGCTTGCCTGAATAACGGTACGCTCCTAGCTACCGTGACTACTGCTTTGATTTTGTATATAACACTTGCCGTTATCTGATGATCAACAATGAACAGACGATCACTGGCGCGTGCGGCGTCACTACCGTGCTGATTCGATCCATGCGGTGTCTTGCCCTCAGGCGGACAGCCCGTCAATGTGATGTGTATTATGATCACATTCCGCACTTCACACGTACAGCTTGGTACCATGTAGTTACTTGGGCCACTACCTAGGTTACAGGTAGTGGTACTAGTTCGTACGTCGGTAGGTATTAGTCGAAACTTGAACGTTCTACAGCTTCTTCCGACCAACCTGCCAGTTTTAGTGGAAATTTTTGTGAAACTTAGTCAGTCTGTAGCTCAGCGAAATTAGTCTGATTTAGATGACACTAAAACTGGCAGGTTGCTCGGGGGAAGCTGTATTTAACACCCCACAGCGGCCCCGGTTCGGGACCCAAACAATCCTTGGCCATTTAGTTGTACGGAATAAATCCGAGAGAGTGAGGTACAGCATGTATACAGAGAAGGTGTATATGGTTTGCCAATGATTAGCACCGAAAGAATCGGTGAATGTCCGACCGCTTTTTTGTACACGATCTGCACGGATCAAAGAGATATGAGTACCTACTACCCATACCGTGTACACTGTACGTACTCTATCCACGGAAACTAGCGGAGCAGCTCGTGACTCGTGAGACAGCGAAGGAATATTTAACAGTTCTCACGCGGACACACGCACGTACCGGTATCACGCCGGACAGTAGGTACGGGCCCGGTAGGTATAAAGGCTTAGGCTATACCCGCATCGTTTACCGGCGGGGTCAGTACCTAGTTAGTACTCAATGGGTAGAAGTCAGTAGTCAATAAACATAATTGGCCACTACCTAGTAGGTATGGTAGTACCTACGTCCAGTACGCACCTTGAATGATGCAGGGAACTTGGAAACGTGCAAATCAAGTGATCGACGTTCAACGTAGTGGCAGTCCCTTTTCACACCGGCCAAAATCAACGTCCTTGGGCTTGTTAAACCCCTACCCGAGCTGTAAATACAGTTGCTCTGAGGGCTGGTTGAAATCGACTTTCTGGAGAAAATAAGGGTTCAAAGCGAGGTGGTGTGAAATTATGGGTCGGCTAATGTGGTGAATCGGTCGACTCGGTCTCAGGCGTGGTATCGAGATTTCATGGATCGGAAAGAAAGGGAAGACGTCGTCATACAGGAAAGGACGCGTGCCAGAAAGCCACTTCCAATCGCCCACGTCATATATATTGCGATCGATCACCTCAGATCGCTTGGTTCCCCATAGCGTATCCCTGAAAAAACTGGTCTTTGCCTCACTTCTTGAGAACCTTTTGACAGCATTGCATTGCTCAGCTCACAGTACAAAGGCTTGCCCACATCGCCCTTCTTCTTTCGTTCCACGAGGTGCGCCTCTTTGCAAGCTCCAGTCAACATCCGCTCAACACTCCCACTTTCTACCAAGACCGGTCCGCCGCTCAACGACATCAAGATGGCTGCGTCTTTCAATGCTCTCCAGCAGGAGGATATCGGTGAGCAAAATTGCTTTTTTTATTTCGTACTTTTTTGGGAGTTGAAAAATAGTACCATCCAAGGGGTAGTGAGTAGAGATCAGAGCTTCTGAAAATCGTGCGGTGCCTTTCGGAAATTGTAGCATGGAACCTCCCTGCAATTGAAGAGAAGCTGATCAAGACAATTGCGGTGGAGCACGCAGACTACAATAGCATAAGCCTCTTGGGCACAAGCAATATTGCCAACTGTTATGATCAGTAAGCCCTTCTGTAGAGAGCTTCGATATATGAGAGTGTTCTTAACTGCCAAGAACGCGCGGCCCGGGATGAAGTACTCTGCCTCATCGAGACATGTGTTTGGGCACCTGATACCAGTAGCTTCTTTAGGCTTGTCACATCTTTCCAGATCTAGATTGCTTTGATGCCGATATGTTTAGCTCTCGATTGCTTTCTACGCCGTAATCCTCCAGATCTAGACCGCTTTTGATGCTGTACTCTTCCAGGTCTTACACGGCTTTGATGATCTGTTTGTCAAGGATTGTCAGGATGCTCCTCTAGAGAAGGAATTGTCAAACCACCACTCTGCAGGACGTTGCTCACACATCCCCACTCGCAATCCCTTGCAGCTTTTTCTGGGCTGCACGTGGAGGAAGGGGATGCCACCGCAGGGGCACCACTCATTGATCGGGGCACGCCAAATGGCAACCGCGTGAGCACCGTCAAGGTCACATTCGCGACGCCCTTCAGCAAGCCCCCTATCGTGCACGCCTCGATCAACTATCTCGACTTCTACATTACTGGCGCCATCAGAATGCAGGTGGAGGTGAAGAACGTAACAACCACCGATTTCGACGTTGAATTCTTTACCTGGATGGATACCAAGGTGTCAGGGGTGAAGGCCCGCTGGTTGGCCATTGGTTCCAGCAACTCAACCGGTGCGCTAACCACAGTTTGATGAGCTAACGAGTGGCAATAATGCAGTAGTTGCAGATTCTGACCTACAGGTTGATGAGCTAACGAGTGGCAACAACGCAGTAGTTGCAGAGTTTGCTAGACCATTCTGAGGTGTAAAAGGTTTTCCTAGGGGGCGCAATGTCAGGATAGGCATGCATTCTGATCTCTACTCTCTGCCTTAGCAGGTTGTCGGACGCACTGATAAGCTGACTGTAAGAAGAAACACAAGCAGACGTTGGACTTCAGCTCATTGTATTGTGGCTGTCAAGCTTCAAGTTCAACAAAATTTTGGAATTCGTCATCTGTGCACCTCTTGCGAAGAATGAAGTGAGATGTATGTATGTGCGAAAGACTCGAAAGGCGCAGGCTAGCGTTGCCGCCCGTCATGATTCAACAATCATGACCAGACACAGAAAGAGGCCACGGATATGCTGCTTCCACTAGGCGCATCTTTTGTAGAGTATCCCGATTGAAAGTAGCAAAAACGTTAATTGCACTGTCTACTGATGAATGCCCATATATATCCGGCAAACTCCCGGCGTGCATAGTAAATGAGGGCCATAAAGCATCATGTGCTGCATCAGCGGTAGCATGCACCAGAAGATCAACACGAATAGATCAAACACCGATCATTTTTCATCGGATCCCCGGGTTCTATATCTTGCAATACGGACTCCGGGACAGTACGGCGAGGCATCTGCTCATCTCATCGCGGCATGCCTAAATCACTCGTGATACTCGATCTCAAGTCATATTGAGGGATCCGGAAAAGATGTCCTGCATCATTAGGCAGGCGGCCTGCGGCCCATGTACGTGCATGAGGCTATGCGCAGCTGTCGATATATAACTGGAATCACACTTTAATGATGGTCGCTGGTCGAGGTCGCTAACCAGCTTGTGGTGGCCTGAGAGCCGGCAGAATATAGAGCACGATCAGAGGTGGATTCCAGATCGAAAGCCTTTGCAGTTAGACTAGGGGGGGCATCAATATGAAGTAAGTTGCATCCGATCCTCAACAAACTGCGCCGCAACGAGATTGCACGTCCGGCGACTTGCACTAGCAGGCCTGTCCTACTTGATGCTTTTAAATGCTGGCATCAGGCCGGCCGCGCGGCTATATCCAATTACAACGTCTACCGGCAATTGGTTATCCTCACTTTTTTTTGTCTTCAGCCTGCTTAGAGCATATATGGTACGAGAACCGGAAGGGTACTACCAGGGTCCTAAGACCACCGTGGAGAATGGTGACCATTCTCCTCGTCCCGCCTCTGACAGAAACTAGAAGCGAGAGCAAGTCGTTGAATCAGTGACCTAAGAGCATCCTTTGAGCATCCAGTGGCTAGATGCAGTCCGCTTATTGACGGAATTAAGGCTCGAACTCATCGTCCCTCAGTTGTTGCTAACCCTTACGCCCATACCTTTACACAGGTTTGTTGCTAATCGAGCCTGACATGTCGATGTGTCACGACACACACCGACTTCACGTATGCTTCGTTATTATCCACTTCGGAGAACGAGAAAAACCCACGCTTGTATCTTCGACGTACAACTTTCGTATCGCCTATACAATCTACTTCGCATTATTACGTGGAACATCGTCCTTCGGCCCAGCCTTCAACGGAGCCGCATCCTTTTCCGGCTGCAAAGCGCCTTGGACGGAACCGCCCTCCAGCGGAACGCCTTTGGGCCGGACCGGCTGCAGGTCTGCCAGCTTGACACGTGTCCCCTGGGGCGTCACTTCGTCCTTTTGCCCCGCCAGCTTGCCACGTGGCACCTCGTCCTCCTTGCCAAGACCCGTTACTTTCTCCACCTTGCTTACGTCCGGCAGATTCTTACGCGGCGACTCTTCGACTTTGCTAGAGCCCTTTTGCAGACTCGGCTTGCCGTTTGGATTGGAATCGTCGATCTTTTTGGAAATCGAGCCCTCCTTCAATGCTTCCGTTACGGTTGGTTGGACGCCAGGGAGTCCTGCTTTTCCGTTTTCCGCGCTCTTAGGCCCTGTCCCAAGGATGGGCTGATTCATTCCGGCGGAAGGAACGGTATCCGCTGATCCGCTCCCCGGCTTTCGACTTTGGTCAACGCCCCCACCGTTGCCCTTGTCTTCCCGCGCACTCTCGTCTTTGAGCGCGTCTTTCACCTTGAAACTTGACCCCCCGGTTCCTGCCCTCGCAACTGGTGCAGCTTCGGCCACACCAGACTTTCCGCTTCCGCTTTCCTTCCCAGAGTTCCGTTCTGGCTCGTTTTCCCTTGAGCCAGCCTTCACATTTCCAGCGCTCTTCGCCCCTTCCTTCCCGCTGACGCTCGAAGGCCCTTCCCCCTGGTTACCCTTGCTCTCGGAAGTTCCGCCGCTGCTAGTTGTTCCGCTCCCGGTCTGAAATCCGGTCTGGGCTCCGCTCCCGCTTCTACTGTCAACTTCGCGCACTGCCGCTGTGCCACCCTTTTGCGCCGTCCTACTTCCCTCCGCATCCATCACAGACGAAACCCCTTTTCCGGTCTTTTCACCCCTTTCCGGTCCAGATCTTGCAATTCTGCTCGGTTCCGTCCCAGATTGCCCGCCCGTCCCTGCTGTTCCTCTCACGTTCCCGTCAATTACGAGCGGCAGTTTGCTGTCACTGTTCGGTCCCCGAACTGATCCCGCGGTCGCTCCTTTTGCTTCCGCTCCTCGCGTTTCAGACTTTTCCGTTGTGCTTCCGCCTGACGGAACGCTGCCTCCAGCTGTCCTGTCAGTCTGGGGTCCCCGAACGTTTCCTGCGGTCGCTCCCTTCGCTTCCGCTCCTGGCGTCCCGGACATTTCCGTTGCGCTGGCCCCAGAGGTCCCAACAAATTGGGGTCCCTGAACGGTCTCCCTCGTCGTTCCCTTGGCTTCCGCTCCTCGCGGTCCAGACCTTTCCGCTGCGCTTGCGCCTGACGGAACGCTGCCTACAGCTGTCCTGTCAGTCTGCGGTCCTCGAACGGTCCCCCCAGTCGCCGCCTTCGCTTCCGCTCCTCGCGTCTCAAGCTTTTCCGTTGCGCTTGCCCCTGACGGAATGCTGGCCCCAGAGTTCTCACCAGATTGGGGTCCCTGAACGGTCCCCCTCGTCGTTCCCTTGGCTTCCGCTCTTCGCGATTCAAGCTTTTCCGTTCCGCTGGCCCCTGACGGAACGCTGGCCCCAAAACTGCTAACAGATTGGGGTCCCTGAACGGTCCCTCCAGTCGTTCCCTTCACTTTCGCTTCTTGCGGTTCAGACTTTTCCGTTGCGCGGGCCCCGGACGGAACGCTGGCCGCAGCCGTCCCGCTCGGCACCGGTCCTCGCGTTCCGTTCCGCTCTGCGCTTCCGTATGCTTCTGCCTTTTGTGGCGTACTCCCCTTCTCTTCGCCCTCCTTTGCGCTTGTTCTCGACATAAGACTCTCTGCCCCGCTCACGTGTCTTTCCGGTGCTTTTCCAACTTGTTGTTCCGGCATTCCGGTCAAGTTTTCCGTGGGCAGTTGCCCGCCGTTATCCATGCCCCCCTTCACCCATTTGATGTCCTCTTCTTCGAAGCCAACCCCTTTGATCTTGCCGATCGTTCGGGCCAAGATGTCCTCGCCACTGCCAGAACCCTTTGGTCGTCCGCTTCCGTAGGCGACCGTTCCTTCCGCTGGACTGCTATTCTGACCAGGACCGTTCTGGTTAGCGGCATCCGGCCGGATTGGGTTCGATCCGTTTGTAGGGCCCCTGCTTTCCACCTCCTGCTTAGAAGGACTGTGAGCCGCCTTCGAAAAGCTCGGTTCTTCTACTTGGCCTTGGTCATGTTTGGTCGAATCTTCGCTGTGCTTCCCCGGTTGCCCGGTAAAAGACCCCGATCCTAGTTGCGACTGAGAAACTCGGAATGACTCCGGCGGTTCCGGATAAGCGGGCGGGTGGGCAGGGAAGATTGCCGGCTCGTAAACCACGAGCTTTTGATTATCACGAACCATCCCTGGTCGCGATCCCGGATGCGGACTGCCGTCATCGCTCCCCTCTCTGGGCGCCACGTGTACGCCCTCTCCTTGCGCCACGTGTTCCGCGCCCCAGATCTCGGTGACCGCCCAAGGATTTGCGATAGCGCCCGACTCGCGCGACGCGGCCGCGACGCGCGTGCTCAGTATGAGGTCGTCCCACGGAGTGCGGCCCCAAGTTTTGGACCAGGCGGCTTTCAGCTCTGCGCAGAGCGGATTCCGGTTCCGCTCCAGTTGCAGCGGATCTTCCATGGCGCACAGGAGAATGGCGGCCGCGGCGGAGGACAGCGCGTGGAACAACGGTTGGACGATAGCGTATCCCAGCTGTAATCACAAAGTAATGAGGTCTTTTAGCACTGAAACGTGGCATTATCCCGAAAGTTTGAGTTTCCTTACAAGTGGGAACAAAATTCTGCATGATCGTCACTTGCCCTTTGAAATCTAGAGAGGACAGGGGATGAAATGTCGCTGTGACTCTTCTGTTCGCTACATGATACAAACTGGACGACTCTGTTTTGTACCCAAACATCTATGTGGTGGAACATTATAGAGTCTGGATTCATGTTTGTTTTTAAACACGTCTTAAACTGCCCTCAGTAAGTCAACTTCCTCGCATACTAAATTATTGGGCAATGTATACCATTCTTCGGAAATTGCTGAAAAGGCCTCCGTTCATCAACCGACCGTCTCTAGTTCATGTGCTCACCAGGAACCCTGCTATAAATGCAAAGATGACCAGCTCGTTGTCCCCCCCGTGGTTGCTCCTAGCCCAGAGCGCGGTGAGACACCCGGGGAGCAGCGCGCCGAACAGGGAGCCCAGGAACACCACGTGGTGCATGACGTCACCATCGGCCATGGCGTCTGGAAGGTAGAAGGTGGACAAGGATGGTATGCTAGCACGTGTTTAAGAACATCAAGTGGGTTACCCTTTCGGCAAAAGATTGTCATTGCCGTTTCAAAATTCTCGACCACGCTCGCAAGAGCGAGAGTTCCCATAGTTTAGAAGTGCTGCAGGTAATCAGAACCACGAGAGAAACGCTTCGGAAGTCCAGTCTAGTCTCTCGTCAAAACTTCGAGACTAATCCGTCCACTTATTCCTACCAAAGCCGTGCGAAATCTTTAATCAGGTTCGGAGGCCTGGTTTCCATGCGGAATATGGTTGGCGAGATAAGCCTGTCAAGGTACTCACGAGATGCAGATGCCTTGACAAACCGCCACGCGTCCTTGCTTGACTGGACGTAAGTCGTGCCCCTCATCCCGCACCGCACTAGCCCGAACCTGTTGCTCCGTTCCTTTGCCCAGTCGCGCATGTGGAAAGCGGAGCTGTCGCCGCAGCAGAACGTGCAACAACAGCACAAAAAGCTGCAAGGCAAAGAAATTCATCCTTTTAAGAGATGCTAAAATTGCGGCCTCCTGTGTCTTTGCAGGCTCACTCCAACGATTTCAGACAACTGTCCTGTTTGCACTCGAGCAAAGCAGAAAGAATGCTGTCCTTCTCCTTTTCGCATACGAATTTGAGCCGGCTTTTGGCTTACTGGGACATCCGCAAAAACGCTTACCTAAATTCGCAAATTCGCCCATTTTCGCCCGTTTTAGGACCCTGATTTTAACGCTGGTAGTGCGTAACCAGATTGGGTCAAAGCAGCCACATACAAGCGGCTGATTCACTCCCTTCCCTAGAACCTACCATTGGAAATCGAAGGGGCTTCTGACGATGCGAAAAATACGCAGAAGAGAGTGAGAATAACTAGACTTTGAAAAGAGATGTCGGCCACTAGGTTCTTACCCGAGGATGTACACCGCCCAGTCGACCAGCCACACGCTGACGTCAACGATGACGCCACCGCAGACGCTCCCGGCCGACTTCGTGATCGCCCACTTCACGAACGACGGCGTGCCCGCCACCTTGCGACGCGGCCGCGCGGCCGAAACCTCCAAACCCTTCGCTTCCACCCACCCCTGAACTCGCGGCGCTTCGCCTTCGGGTTTGGCGCCGACATTGGCTCCGATAACCACCGCTAAACCAGACTGGGTTTGGCCGGAACCCGCGGGATCTCTAAACCTCCGGCTTTGCTGTGGTGACCCAGGAGCGACGCGGCCCGCCGCGTCGCGCTCGCGGTCGCGCGTCGGCTGAGCGAGGCTTACGAGGGGTTCGGCGGAGCACCAAGCAGCTACGGAGCCGCCCACTACAAAATGGACGTTGTTTGCGGCGACCGAGAGAGTCCAAAGGTAGCCCATGATGTAGGGGATGGTCGCAGCCCAGCCAAGGCCCCGCACGCAGATGACCACCTCGATGAGAAGGCAAAGGGTGGCGACACCCTGAAGGCGATAAACGGGAGTCCGCTTCAGATTATGAGAAAGAAGCTCCGTGTGAGCAATTGATTTCCTAGTCCCCGCTGTCAAGGGCAATCTGTTAGGAACAAAAAGTGGTTTCTAGCGAGCTCACGAGGTTTGTTCGTGCCAGGAGTCAATAACAAAGAACGTCGTTAATTAGCATTGACTTACGCGGAGGCGGAATTCCAACCCTAAAAAGCTCCCGTGTTCCGCTGTATATGCCGTCACAAACGAGATTCCACGACAAAAGACGGTCAAGGAAAACCTCCGCAAGGAAAGAAGGGTACTGAACAGAACTATGAGAATACCATGAATGCTTCTTTTTCGCACCTGTAGAATGGCCGTAAAGATGCAGAAGATGACTGTCCCCCACCGCTCGCGCATCGCGTCGAAGGCGACCCCGGAGGTGGCGCCGGCGAAGGAAAGGCCTTTTCGCGCCAGGAAGATGCCCAGCAAGGTCGCCAAAAGGACGCCGCACATCAGTCCTCCGGGCACCCACATTTCTGCAAGACAATTGAACCTTTCAAGAACCTCATGAACCTTAGTCATATACCCGTTGAATAAGGGCAAGGTATCGACGGTTTCGTCTAATCGCCTTCGTGAACTGTTTTGAATGCTACCGTGATTTGGAGGCCTTTTTGACTGGGGCAAATATCTAACCACACAAGTTCGAGCTTTCGCAAACACAAGCAAGTCAGACATACCGGAGACGGGACATCTGGCCACCCCGTTTGGTCCCCGCTTTCGTCCTGCCTGCGCATTTGTGATACATATCGAGGTGAAGCATCTGGTCCCCAGTTTCACGAAGCAAGGACGTTCGCGGTTTGGGCCTGGGTCGGTTTCTTTTCGATCTCGCTTTGCTGGGCTTTAATGAATCGCTTCCGGATAGACAAAAATTGTGGAGGAGACGGAGTTCAAATGCTAATGTGTGCTCTTCGAGTAAAACGGAGCGAGAAGCTCTGAAACAACCCATTGCCGGCTCCTGTTGGCGGACCTTTCTTTTCTCTTCCCTTCTACCAGTTCTCAACGTTCTGTGCTTTTGACTACTATTTTGCCGTCGAAATTGACCGTTGCTTACGCCTGCTCAGCAGCACCCCCGCGCCGAGGGCGCTCAGCAGCGACGGCACGATGACGACCACCATGACGACAGCGCCGTGGAACGCGCGCGCGAGCGCGAGCAGAAACGCGACCAGAAGCAGGGCCTCCCCGGCGGCGCTCGCGAGCATGTACCCCGCCTCACGGTACCAGGCCCCCGGGTGACCGGAATCCGCTGGATGACGGCGGAAAAGGAATCATTGTGATGGCGGAAACGGAAATAATCGCCTCGGGGTTTCTGAGCCGGCACTGGTACGATGATTTTGCGGGATGCCAAAGTATCCCAGAATGTGGGCGTTGCTGTGAATCTTCGTCAACCGTAAAGCTTGCTTGTATTGTAAGTCGTTTCGTTGGGAGAGCGAAGCAACTCTCTGAAGTGGTGGTCCTTCATGAGGGCAGAATGATGCTATGTAAGGATGCAAAGTGCCATCACTGCTAGGTCTAAAGGAATCACACTTCCGAAACGTTTGCCTTATTCAACTGAACTTTCTTCCCTCTGCCTCCAGTATTGCTTCCATTTCACAGCCGCGAAGCATCACAATAGAACCGAACAAGGCATCCAAAAGTACGCCCAACGGATGAAACACGCCGTCGTCAGAAACAAAAGGCGTCTATCAAGTCCGGCAAGAGGTCAATTCGGTGGGCCTCACCTCCTTTGAGAGCCCCAGCGAATACCATACAGTACGCCGCAAGTCCAAGCAGAAACGCCATGTACACGTAATACAGGGCAGCATACCCCTCGTCCTGCGCTTCCCGGCACCCCCCCGGAGCGATAACCAGCCCCCCGAGAATCTCTCGGGGGGCGGGATCTTCATTCGCACCGTTCCCGTGTGAGCTGACTCCGGCTCCATTTTCAAGGGGCTCGGTCCTGAGGTTCTCTGGACCCCCCTCGTGGGGTGGGCTTCTATCCAAGGGCAGTGTTCGGGGTTCGTGAGGTTGGCTCAATCTCGTGTCGCTTATTGGTTTTGGGCTGTCAGTTAGTGGGAGCTTTGGTGTGGTATAGTTGGGAGATTCATTGGACTGTTGCGGCCGGTGGTGAATCGTCGCCGGTTCTTGGCGGGAAGAGCTCGGGTGAGATGACGACTGGGGGGGGCCAGGCAGAGCTGTCGCTAGCCGTTGCTCCAGAACCGAGAGCCTGAAAGGGAAGGCTTAAGGAGTCAAGATGGGGCGGTTCGACATGAAGATCAAACAATGCTCCTTAAAGGGGACTCTTCTGTATCTTGTACACTCGAAATCAGTTCTATGCCCTTCAACCTTTTTTCCGCTAAAAATACGGGTTCGTCAATCAGGGCCCACTTTGTAATGTTGAAACTGTTGCTCCGGAGCCGAGAGCCTGAGAGGGGAGTGCTCAAGAACCAGGTTTAGGTGATACCTGAGACCGTCCAATGACTGGACCATGATCCTGGGAGAACCTTCCTTGTTTCAATACTGCGTTCGTAAGTCTATGGCCTTCCACCCTTTCTGATGCACGTGTACTATAGTCCGTTGTCAGGACATGGAAGAATCAGACGGAGCTTTGCATGGAACAAAGCGCATTTCTCCATATCCCCAAAATTGTCACTCTACTGAAGAGTAATGAACGGCAACAATCAAATTTTGTACATTGGCTTTAGACTTCACCTCACACACAATCGAGTCGACACCAAGCACCGCTTCTCGACCTGAAAGAACCCAGCTCACAAAACAGACTCCCTTTCTAGCGCGGTTCTCGAAGACAGAATCCTTTTCACCTCTCTTCGTGTTTTGCCACCTCCTCCCAGTCCTTTCTCTGCTTCTCCTCTGCAGACCCCTTCTCCGACCGAGTCAAAATCTTGTTGTGCTCCTCTATCCTTTTATGCAGTCCCTCGACCATCGTTTCAATCTTATGCAGCACCCTATCACTCCCAGATCCTTCCTGTTCCGGCTCTTCCCGCTCCCCCCCCTGTTTCGCCTGGGCGAACCACCCCCCTCCCGCTCCACCTCGAGCCTCGCCTGCGCTTTCATGAGCTCGTAATGCCGCCGCTCTAGTTCCTCGTGCCGTGCACTGACCGCGTCCCTCTGCCCGAGCGATTCGTGATGCGCCGCCAGCAGCTGCATCATGACCGTCGATTTCGCCATGTCAGCAGATCCGACGCGCCCGAGCTCGATCCCCATCTGGTTACCCCGCGGGTTACGAACCAACCCCGTTCTGGACCCGAGGTAACTCGGGAGCACCCCTGTCGATGGCCGGGTTAGAGCGGGTGGAAGCGTCTGCTGCCGGCCCAGGTTTTGGGACTGGGTTAAGAAGGGGGTTTGGGACTGGTTAAGGAAGAACTGACCAGGGGTTACCAAGGTCTGTTGGTCAGGGGAAGCGTAAAGCGGGTTGAGCCGCGGGCTCGCTGGCGTCTGCATTACCCCTGCTGAGTGACCGTTTCCAAACAGGGGGTTAAGGTTGACCGCAAATGGGTGGCTGTAGTCGGGGGCTGCGATCGACGGCTGGGAATGCAGGTAGGGCGAAACTGACGGCTGAGATTGCAGGTAGGAAGGACTGGACGGCTGAGATGGGCCGTTCCACGCATGGGGTGACTGGTAATCTGGAACTTGATGCTCCCTAGGTTGGAAAGTTTGCTGGTAATTCTGCTGGTAAGGCTGGCGGTTTGCTCCAAAATAAGTACTACCCTGCGAGGCTCCGAACTGGGGGGACGTTGGTTGGATATGCTGAGGGTAACTCCCCTCCCCTCGGTAATTGTAACCCGGGTTGGGGGCTGGGTTAGCGCTCGGGGCGGACTGGTAACCCATCTGTCTGTGTAGCCCGGATGGGTGAGAAAAACCAGCTTGGGGAGAATAGGGCCCCTGCATCGCATTTGGTACATCGGGCGGATCGCCATAATGTGAAGGGCCGTTGTATGGCGGCAATCCAGGTGGCTGGTACGCCATAGCTGCTCCTGCAGGGGGGTAAACGTGCCCCTGGCCAAACGCCCCCCTCAGTAAGTCGCGACGAGAATCAAAGCTGAGCTTAGCGCACCAAAAGGACTTCCGCTCCTAGCTTCCATGTCATGAGTCTGCGCTGCTTTTACTATAGGGACAAGGCCCTGTAGCGCCCTTAGACTCACTAGCAAAAGCGCCAGCACGCCAATTTGAGTGTCCACGTTGTTTGAATTTCAGGTGACTCACTCTTTCTCTGCATTCACGACTCTGCTGCGCGCCGGTAAAAATCTTATCTTGCCTCCGACTACTCCGTTGAGATACAGCGCGACAGCTGGGCACCCCTTGCAATGGTTATTCAGCAGACCTCACTACTTTAATCTGGCGGATCCGGAAGACTTTTCCTTCATGATTCATGGTGCAAGAATGGCTTGCGCAGAGGCGCTCGCGCCTCGCGGCCATTGAGCTTAATTGGAATTGGTACCGCCTCCGAATCCTGAATAGACAGCTCAGACATGCAAGCAGTCGAAGCAGAACTGAAGCAGTCCGTGAAGTCCAGACACCAAAAGCTCAATCTTATGTAGTATGTCTCTTACTATCTTCACTATCTGACTACATATGTATCATGCATCAGATTCTTTACGAATTGAGATTAACTTCTGCTTGATTTGCAGTTTGCCGTAGGACTCGGTACGAGCCGTAGGCGGGATGGCAAAGGGTCAATCGGACGGCCAGCAAACGTCTTAACGATTCGCAACCCTCGCAACTTAGTCGATGCCAGACTGCTTCAAGTTCTAGAGTAGGTACTGAAACTGGCATGCAGTGGAGCTATTTAAGCTAGCCGCTTAGCTAGAGCCTAGCCTACTACAGCCTCAGGCTTGCTAGAGGCTTTGCAGTTGGCCTGAAAACATCGCCACCATTCCAGAGGGGGGTGGCAATGGCTGCTGCAATTGTAATGTCTCTGCACACGGAGGCTCTAGGAAGGCTCAATGCAACCGGAGCTACTTGCCAGCCGCAAAGGCCAGCTACTAGTGCGCGCCCTTTGTTGCCAAAGAGGCTGATTTCGGCACATCCTCAAATCCTGCAAAGCAATTTCCACCAATCAACAGTTTTTACATCACAGTACACCCCAGCAAGTTTTCAGAAATTAGGAGGAGCTCCCAAGGGCGTTTGCAAGTCAGCAGGGTCCGTGTCCCCACCACCAGACCCAGACAATTCTGACCCAGCATTGTGGAGTAGCGAGGAAATTGGAGAATACCTCGCAGCAAAAACTGGAGACTCCAAGTTGAAGTCTCAAGTGATGAAAGCAGGGATCACCGGATTCTCGATGCATACGCTGACCGCCAGCGATATGGAGCACTGGGGTCTTGAGCCCAGAGTTATAATGCGGGCATTTTGCTTCATTGAGGGGCTTCTTCGTAGTAAGTTTCTTGCAAAACCTCCACCTTTTTTTCCAAATCTTGTATGTGCAGTTTCTGGGCTTTGTTTTCGCACGCCTTCATGTTGAATTGGTTTCAAAGGTTCACTGAAAAACCTCAAAGTCAATGTGGAGCAAATTCCTGCTGAGTTCTCAAATAAACGTGCCCTGGACGCAAACAGTGAACCATATGTCAGTAGGCTTGCAAGTTTTAAAAAGAGAGTCAGGAGACTAAGGAGGGGCGCTCAGGTGCTTGAAGTGCCCTGATTTTCGAACAAGCTCTTTGCAAGCACCTCTCTACAATCCAAGCAAGGGAAGTAGAAGCAGTATTCAATGCCAAGATGACTGTCAGCTTCTGCTTTGCCCTTGGAAGCATATTGTCCTTAGGGCCACAAGCAGATTGACTATGTGGTGCTGTTATTGAAAGTGAGAACTGATAGGAGCAAGTGCAGGTTAGAAGGTGGCTTTCTTGCTTGGGTTGTTCAAGGGTGGCAGAGTGTTGGGACACCCATTACAGTGTGTCCTTTTCCTCCTGCAGAGCTCGACGTGCGCTCTTTTCATCGCGTCCACTCTGCGATGACTGACGACGAGTTTGCCAACGTCGTGGACGAAGCGAGTGCAGCCTTTGAGAACCTAAAAATTCTGGGAGCGAGAGGGTTTGTAAAGATGAAACCTTCAGAGTGGGCGCACTTTCTCGATAGCGAGGTCCTTGGCTCCAGATTGGAAACTGCTATCAACCAGCCCAAGAACATCACACTGGTGCAGGCGGAAAACATGGAGAAGTCGGTGACGGTGTTTGGGCAGGAGGGGCTGGACAAACTAATCAGCCACAGCCAGTACCTCATCCTTCTTGGGAGCACTGAAGAGGAGGAGAAAGTCTTTGTGACCAAGTTCTGGGACCTCAAAAACGGTGAACGGTATACCACTGATGAGAGTGTGAGTCGATACGAGAAGCTGCGCAGACATCTTGAACAAGATCAACATCAAGACAGTGAGACGGTTATGAACCAGGTAGGAACCTGCCAACAATGACCTTCAACTTTTATTTGCTAGATCATCCAGTTCGGAAGCATTTTGAAGAAAGGGCTTCCAGAGAAGTCTGGCATGAGGCTGATGGGACTAGCCGACTCCCTTACTATCTTTTTCAGGCCATCATCTTTGCCCGAATTGAGATGCTCCAGTGCGGTCTTGAAAGCATTCAGGTCCTGACAATGGGAGAGGTTCAACATAAACACCCAACCTTGAGCATATGATCTAGTCATGACTAGATCTAGTTTCACAAGCAGAAGGCTGAACAAAGCTTGTGTTGATTGCGAAGTCCTCGAGACATTAATCGAAACGTGGGAAAAAACCTCAATGGACAGGTTTCTGATTACCTAGCTAATAGGCTTGCCAGTCATACACAGACCTGGCACTAGGATGCAAACAGGTCGCACTGCCCGCTCGAGACCATTTTTACAGGCGTCTCTTGTCTGCCTTGGTTGAGAGGTCATAAGCAGTTTTGCGCGCCTTTCAGCTTTCTCATTCAGTGTCGAGACCATCAGTCGACCGCAGTCTTGCTGTCTCGTCCGAAAACCTTACTCGCGATGAATCTGTAGGTCGACTTGCCTTGCCAAAACCCTTCTTTCCAACATGCTCTCAGCTTCTCTCTCCTCAACCTTTGTCAACGTAGTTGCCCTTGCTTCATTGGCAGGCCCCGGTTTGAATCTCCGCTTCCCTTGGTCAATGTCTCAACTCAACTTCACAATTCTTTTCATTTAGGCATTCCTCAGCCTCATCAACACCGCAGGAGCGGCATTCTTAGACTTTGACCCGATGGAAGGCACCGCACCCTGCCTGCCGGGGGGGCAGCTTGACAAGGGGTCTAGCACTTTGGGTAAGTCTCATTACTATAAATAGCTAGCTCTACGTTCACACCAACCCAAAATATTGCTCCTGATGCAAATGTAAAAGAATCGCGCATCTTCTCCTCAAAGAGCTCAGACCAGATATACCTTACGAATAGATAATAAGCTCGTTCTACCGGGCACAGAGAAACTAAACTCCCTAACTCGTAACCCACCCTAACCACCAAGCTAACCCCACCCGTCCCCCGGCCTTGACGAGACTTTTGCACCGTTTGGTCGCAGCTCAAGGGCTGCCGATGCCTGTGGCGCACCGGGTACATTTGCCAACATGGAGGCATGGCAAACGTCTTTATCCACAACTGGAATTCGACGCAGTGGCCCTTATTGGGTTCGAGGACGGAAGGAAGGCCATCGTCGTGGGAGAGAGAAAGATACATGCGATTCGAGAAGTGAGTATGTGCTGATCGCTAGAAGTGAGTATGTGCTGATCGCTAGAAGTGAGTATGTGCTGATCGGTTGGGATTGTGATCTTATTCTCCTAGCCTGATAAATTATCAGCCTCTTTTGTCTTTCAAAAGCATCGGGTGTGATTGCTGTAGACGCAGAAGTGCTAGTCGTTTTTTCAGTAAGTTGGTCACTCAAAGCATGCATGGCCTCTCAGCTTTGCAACTAAATTTTGTTGCCAATAAATATTCGAGGAAAAATCTTGTCATCGAAGGCTCCTTGGTACATGGTACATTTCGACCCCAATTGTGGAGACAAGAAGCATGGGTCATGTTAGTCATGTCATGCTTTGTTGATAGTAACCGCTTGGCAACTGGAATAGTGATAATTTTGCATGAAGCCCGAACTCCGAAATGGCTTCTTTCTGCGCCATGGGCCCAGGTGCCTGATCGTGAACAAAAAGAAGTGACCATGAGCTCTTGCAAGAACCTCTGTGGGCCTGCGTTCCAGACTCCCAATTCAGTGATCCGTCCTTCCACCTGCTTTACCGACCTCTCAAGACCCTCAATTCTTGAACTATGACAGGACGTCTTGAATCTGGCACATCGCGCCATCAATTTGCGGGCGCGCCTGCTGGCAGGGGACCCACTGTTAACAACTCCAACGGGCAGAATGCGCGACAAGGTGAAGCCACCATCAATTTGACGAACCAAACTGGGTCTTGGTTTGCATCGGTCCGCATAAAAGAGGGATCTTGCAACTTCGGTCGAAGTTTTGCTGAGCGGAAGGCTTAATATAACCCTGTGCAGTGGCAATCCTGACCTTAAGCATTTAGCCCAGCTTGTCGACTCATTTGCGTTGTCCGATTTCGGTAAACATTCGGTCACCAGGTCGTTGTCAGTCGAGTCTCTCAAGTATTGGGCGCTAAACCACATCTCTGTTGGAAGTGCCTCCAACACGTGTGATTGGTCCACGTTGCATTCACATTTGAGCAAGCCAAGTTAAATTAAGGAGAAGCTTCTGATGTGCAGGAACTGTATCGGGCACTTTCCAGTAACCTGTCCCCCCACTCCGGCCTCCGATTCGTTCCACTCCTTTTTGCTGAGATTTACGACCCGGAAGTTAAGACAAGTGCCTTGGAGAATGAAGTTGCTCTTCTCACTCGGGATGGAGGGGCGGTCGACGTGGTGGTTCCAGTAGATTTCGATTCCCTAGATCCAATTGTAGGAACCTGTTGATTTCTGCGTCGTCTGTTGCAATCTGGTGTAAGCTTACTGGCCTAGACGTATCCAAACAATCTCCTTTCGACAGACCAGTCGGACATTGCCAATCTACGACAAGAAAAGAACTGCAAACGCCAGCGAGTGATTTCGTAAGCATTTGTCTGGTAATCTTTTAATGGATAAGGTTTCGTGCTTTCATTTTGAGTCTTAGTACCGGGACGGTCGATCGTTTTCACGACTCGGTTAAGTAGTTAAAGCCGTACATCCCTGGCAATGAATAGGAAGGTTTCTTACGCAAAAGTGTTGATGTGTCATGCAGATGTGGACACTGTGGTACGTCATAGCTGAGATTGGATCGACACAAGTATAATCGACGCCGACGACCTTTAAGTAATTGAGAAAGTCACTTACTAAGCTATTTGCTTAAATGAATGATAGACGGTTGTATAAAGATGCATGCAGCTAGAGTGGAGCCTTATCATCTCTCGATATGCCTCGCTCGCAAGCAAACAAACCTATAGTAACCTAGTATGTTTGACTAGCTGGTTTGCCATACAGTGGCTGCGGCATCATGCATCCTATTCGGTTATGGACCACGGTGTTAGATTGACGTAAAATTCGAGAGGACAATCTTCTGCCAGCGCGGCCGGTGTGAAAAGCGAAGCTCATAGCCTAAGAGGCTTTCACATGTGTGCACTTGTATTGCCACTGCTCGCTCACACCTCCGACTTCTCCTTAAAAAGTCAACTAGGCTCACTAGAGAGTTTTTCTGAGCACATGCTCGAATCACATATCTAAGTGAGTGATGCAGTGAGTCTCAGCCTGCCTGATCCTACACGCACCTAGGCTAGCTCTTCATCTTGCATGTCTTGTCAATAGAACGATTTTCAATGACTCATCGACATGTACGACGCGCTCTATGTACTTGTACTCGTAAAAAGCCTATGCCAATCCGACGACAAGAACCATCTTTCCAAACCACAACCTAGAATAGGAACGGGGGATGTACAGATTCAATCTTGGACAAAGAAAATTCTGGAGAGGTCACAATCAACCAATTTACTACGTTGAGCGCAGCCATGTCAATTACATTTTAACAACGAGGAATCAATGAAAGCATTGTAAGCTCCATGAAGTTGCTAATGATCCGCTCAGATTGAGTGTCGCATACGGTCTCGCAATGATGTTACAATGACCTGATTGCAGAAGTTGATGATGATGCAACCACAACAATTTCGAGCTTCGGAGCACCCTCATTTGCAGCTCCTTAGGTAAGACGAAATGTAACTAGCTAAGCGCATGCACGATGCAGAAGTCTTGACTCGCTTCTGACAGGCACATGATGCGTACTTATTCATTTTATCAGCCTAGATTGCGGATCCGCAAGCTGTTGCCCTTGTCGCCTGCTCGAATCTGACCTAAACTTCGTGCATATGTGCAGGTATATCGCCAATCTCTTGCGATCGCTTTGGGGGCTGCATACCAGAAGAAGTGCCGCATGAAAGCGTGTGAGCTACGTAGCAATTTGTGCAGAATTATGGCCCTTCACAATCCTTTCGACTTCTTGCTATCACTTCGCTTTGTGCACAATCAAAAAGCGGAGTTTCAGCAGGGAAGGAACATGCTAAAGAGACCTTCTTGTCTGGTGATGCACCATGACCAGTTCAGAAAGCACAAAACCTCCTGTGGGGTGAGTTAGGCCACGATGCAGAACACAAGGTACTTTGCATCCGCGAAATGACATTATAGCGTAGCGGTCTTAGCGCTGCAGATTGCGTGCATACGGGCTAGGAGCGCAGCCGAGCAATCCATCATACTTGGTGCATTCGACAACGACCGCGGAGAGATCGAAGTAGATGTACGAAAGGCATTTTGCGTTTGCTGTTCGCAATAAGAGTTACCGTATCGATTTGCAAACGAACGCGCAGCAGAAATCCGTCTTCTGATGTACGTGCGCCAAAAGCGGGAAGAGTTCCCACAGAACAGAACAGAGAGCGCCATTCAGTTGAGAAGCGAGAGGCTTGGAGAGAACGGCTCACCTTGCTAACACTTGACGCCAAACGCCCCCTAGCTTTCTGGACCTTGTTGCTGCTGGATCTGCTGCAACAGCAGGAACGCCTGCTGCAGCTGCTGCTCGAACTGCTTCTCCTCCTGCGCCCACCCCTCCGCTTGCCCCTGTGCGGCACCCCCCTGCTGCGGGGCCGGGACGGCCGGCTGCGCCGGTCTAGCATTCCACTCTCCTGGCTGCTGTCCTCTGCCGTACCCTGGAGAGGCCGTATTCACACCCGCACCCGGGGCTGGCTGCTGCTGCGATGTAACTTGGCCCCCGGCTGGCTGACTGCCCCCAAGATAGGCCGTAAGTTGGGCTAGCTGATCGGTCGGCAGTTCCGTCTGCTGGGGGGGCTGGCTTCCTGACTGCGCTGCACCCCCCCACTGCTGCGCAGCGTACTGCTCAGGCTGGTGAGAATACGCTCCCTGCTGCTGGGAATAGGTTCCGTCGCTAGCCGGACGCGCCGGAGCGCTGGCCTGATACCCTGGTTGGGCTGTACCGGGCTGGCTGCCAATCTGTGCTCCAGCATAGGGGGGCTGCCCCGGGGGTGGCCGGGGACCGCTCGGAGGGGCAGGACCTGTAACACCAATATAGAGTTTTCAGTTACACTGCGCAGGTCGAATCGGTGTCGCCAAGAGAGTACTCATCAAAGGTCTATGGGTTTTTGAAGTTCTGTACGAAGCAAAGTAGAAGGCTCCTCTTGCTTCTTCCTAGAGACAAGTGCTTAAACCATTCGGGCCATGCTCTGTAGCTATTGACTCGACATTCATGAGAACGTCTTCATCACCAGATTGCGATCCTCAAGTCTCTGCGGTGCACAAGCCAAACCTCAATCACAAAAGAAGACTTTCCTCAATCTGAACTTCCCATTCAACACACGCAGAGATGCCGCCTCTACTCACCAGGAGAGGTTGTCCCAGGCGATTGTCCATACCCCCTCGCCGCCGCCGCACCCCCTCCGGCAAGGGCCGCGCTAAGCAGCCCCAGCAGCGGATTTCCCGCCTGCACCCCTCCCTGAGACTGAATCTGGGGGATGAGAGCGCTCAACGCCTGGAGCACTTCAGGGTTGACCCCTGCTAGGGGGTTTGCGGGGGCAGCCCCCTGACTTTGCACCGGGGGGGCGGAAGGACGGCCTGGGGGGAGGGGGGGTAAGCGGGCTGGGCCGCATAAGCAGGCTGGGCGTGAGGTGGGGGTGGGCCCGGGGGGGCTGGTGGTCCTGTGGCGTCGGGAGGGGGGGGGGACCTGGAGGAGGCTGGGGGGGGAGGGGAGCCTGCAGAGAAGAAAACGTTGGAGTAGCATAAGCGATTGGAAGGTGAGATATAGGCCCTAAAACCCTAAAACCCTAAAACCCTGAAACCCAAAAACCCAGCCTTTTCCTCTGGATGGGCGGTCCCAATCGCATCTTGGATGGATGGAACGAGCTTTTGGAAAGGTTGCCGGTTTGAATGTCGAACAGTGACGAATGTTCGGGCGTATCGCAAACATGCGTATAGCTCCTCCAAGAACTGGTTGTACCTTCGAACCTCGAAACATGTGATCCAGAACCTATGACGCACAGTTGCATCAATCGGCGAGCAACGCAGATGCAAACGGGGTGCCATCAGGATGGCAACTTCAGGAGTTCTCAGCACAGGAGCTGGTCGTTCTGTAAGACATCCGACACTTTCTCGACTGATAAGGCTCGCAATCAGAAGAAGCTTCTCACCTGCAGCGGGGGCGCAAACTGCGTCGACCGGAACGTCATCACCACCCCCAGCAGTCGGTCCGCACCCGGCACCTTCAGGACGTCCGTCAAGAAGTCGGACGGCGGGACCAGGAACAGCGTCGCGCCGCCGTCCCCCCACTTTGCGACGCCCGCGCGCCGCTTGTCGCCCAGGTAACGCAGGAAGTCGTGGTACGGAGGCTGGTCTTCGGCGGTCTCCGGCTCGAAGCAGACGACGTTGTAGTCGGCGATGGTGTAAACGTGGCGGGCCAGGGTGTCGAGGTCGGTGCGCGCAGTGCAGTTGACGGTCTCGGGGCTGTGAGGGCGCGGGAAAAAGGTTCAGTTGAGGGAGAGTTGTGGATGTTTCTTTGGGAAAGAGACGTGTGCTTGACGACAAGGAAATCCACCGTCTCAGGAGCAAGGACACACCAGTAATACTTTGGTTTCCTTGCACTGGTGTCGAAAAGCTTGGATACGCAGGACTCTGAATTGGACCGATTGCCTTCATCATAAAGAGCACAGGAAATGATATTAGCAAACCTTTGACAATCTCTTACCTACTGGGGCCTTCAGAACAGAGCAACTTTCGCCTAAACGACCGACAAACTAAGAGCACCCTGCGACGGAGAAAAGATGCACTCACATCAGAACCTCGGGCGCCTTTCCAATCGCAAAGCACCGCGCCTTGCACACGGTCGTCCCCGACTTGGCGAGCGTCCCGTGCCAAATGATCGGCCCGGCGGGGGCATAACCGGGCGCTTCCAAAGCCCCATAAGCGGCCGGGGCGCCAAATCCGGGGGGTGCTCCTGGTTGCCCGGGGGAAGGCCCCGGTGGGGGCGCTCCGTAGCCATAGTCTGCAGGAGCGCTGTCGTAGGGACCGCCGGTGCGGGCCCGCTTGTTGGGGGAGAGCGGGTCGGGGTAGTATGGATCGGAAGCGGCAGAGTCGTACTCCCGAGGTCGGCTGCGCGAAGGTAAGAAAGGGTAAGAGTATGGAGATGGATCAAAGCCGTCTAAATCTAGTTGGAAAGATGGGAGGGGGTAAAGCATTGGACGCTGGTGGCATGGCTCTAGAAGGTACCGTTTCGGTCAGTTTCAAAACCAACCGACAGATGCTATCTAAGTTTTACCTCAAGACGACTGGCGAAGCAGCCCGTCTAAGGGTAACCTCGAGTTATTCCATAGAAACAAATTTGCCCGTTTCCCAAGCGTAGAAACGCGGCTCAGAGACACGAACGCGGCTGCTTTCAATAGCTGACTCTCGTGCAAGGACGGTTGACCTGCTCCTTATCACTGGCTTATCGATGAATCCAATCCGCAGGTGCGAGAGCAAACCGAGCGCTGTTTCTCACCGGTATCCTGTGTCGTTGCCCCGGTGCTTCTCCCCGATCACTTGCTTGCTGAAGCGGATGCTGACACGTGGGTCGTTCAGCTTGCTTGGATACTTGCGCACCTGCATAAAACGATGTCTTCAGCCAACGGAAGTATCTTGAAATCGTCGTTTCCGTCCACGTCAGGGATCGACTTTCAGCGCTCAGCTGCGGGAAAGTCTGATTATGTTGGCACAATTCCTCATGCCCGTCGACAATCTGGAAAGAATTTCCTGTAGTGAGCGTCTCTGATTTTTGAAGCATTTGTAGCTTTTCTCAGGCCTCTAGTGATTCTCTAGAAGCTGATATAGCTAAACATATCGACACGCAATTGTAAGCACGGAGAGGTGGCTGTGCAACAGTTCCGGCAGTTCTGCAGTCGGGTGTCTCCTGTGTCTGACACTCTTGCAGACAGAACAAAAAATAGAGCACAGATAGAGAAAGACGGCCCACCTGCTCGCGAGCGCGCATCGCCGTGGCCGTGTCAAAGAACTGCACGAAAGCGTACGGCCGATTCGGGAACGACCGAACCTTGTCGATCTCTCCGAGCCGCCCGAAGATGCCGCGCAGCACCATCTCGTCGATGTCGGCGTCGGGCGGGAAACCGATCCAGAGGCACGGGCTCGGCTCGTTCAGGTCGTCGGGGTCGCGCCCGAGCTGCATAACGAAAAAGACTTTACTTCTAGGTTAATTTGCTGGGGAAGTGGAAGAATCTGGTTAAGGATCCCCTGATTGCCAATGGGGCGGCGCTCAATCTACACCAGGGGAAGACGAGGGACTGACTTCAGGTTAGGCGATCGTTTCCTTCGCGCCCAGTGCCAAAGGCCTGAGCGACAGAGCAGGGAAACAACCAAGTCAGCTGTGGAATGTTCCGGACAGGTTTAAAACGGCCAAGACGCACTTGAGCTAGAATACCGCAGGCTCTCGCCATACCCCTGCAAGCATGTCGGGCGACGGCAAGCTCCTCGAACGGATCGTCGCTTCCTAAGGTTGACATGCAACCTTGGCAGTGCACAAACCAGGTGAGAATGACGTAACAGCAGCCAACAAGAAATAGGACACGAAGAAAAGACAAGTCACCTCTGGACGTCTGGGACCCCGCGGTGGTGGCGCTCTGTCGAGATACGGCTCCCGGGCAGGCGGCCGGTGATGGGGCGCGCCCCGATTGGGATCCTGTACCACCAAGGGTAAAAAAGTTCAGGAATAGACGAGTGCTTCGTTTGTTGTAAAAGAAAATTACACCAGTCTGGAGAGTGGCACGATATTATAAGGATTGTTGGAATGGTGGGGGAATGCTCCGATTCATCGACCCAACAATACAAAGGGAAATTGCTGGCAAAGAAATTGACTGCCCAAAACACTGCTGCCTTTGGCGATTGTGTAGCAATCACAAGAGGCATACAAAGCTTGAAGCAACTCCGAGATTGAAGTTTGATTGCGGACAGTTTTCACTCACCGACTTTGCGTACTCGATACGAATCGCCTGCCCATACAAGCTGGCTCCGTTCATGGCGTTCTTGGCCGCCTCGGCATCCTGGGTTTCACGAAACTGGACGTATGCAAAGTTGCGCTCCTTGTGCGCAAAGACGCTGTCCAGAGGCCCGAACCTACAGAAAGCGGATACGAAGAGAGTCAGCCACTGGCCATTGAAGGTCAGCAAATCTCATGCAACACATTAGATCGTCAAAAAGGAAACAATCTGTGCACATTTGGCTTAAAGTGTCGTTCAGAAAATCGGGCTGTGAAGAGCAAAGTAGAGATCGACAAGTGTAGGAGCAGATGAGACGAGCCTGCTGTTGGATGGCTAGAACCACCAGCAGAAGATTCATTGCGGTATCAAGCTAAACGACAGGGATAATATTAACCAAGATAGACGAGGTGGGTGGAGTGTAAGATTATTTGGGGAAGTTCTTCCAAAAACGACCAGTCAGAAGCTATTGTCTTCGTTTTTCGTTTGTTGCTGCAGCCTCGACAAGAAAGTCAGGATCTAGACGGAACACTGAGGCAAAGCATTGATGACTTAACGAAAACCCATGAAAAACAAGAACCATTGATACAAAGCAGAAAAGACAGACAGGGCTGGGACTCACGGGCCAAAGCGATCCATTAACTCCTTCTCGGTGACGCTTGGGGACAAATTCCCCACCCAAAGGCGGGGCCCTGGCGGTTCCTCTTCCCGGCCCCTCCTCTCATAGGGAGGCCACTTTCTGCCGTCTGCTTGAGGGGATGGCTTTGCCGGGGGTTGCGGCCCCAAGTGGGAAGGGGCGGGATCTGTACCCCCAGTCATGCCACCCTACAGAAGTATGTTGGGACGACGGGTTAGCGATGAAGCACTATGTTTAAGTGGTTTGGAACGATAGTTTTCTTGTTGCGAGTTGTCTGGTGGCAGTGATTTGTTGCTGGCCTGTATGTGGCAAAGTCGTCTAAGATGGCTTGCGTGCCCTTAACCTTGCTGCAGCCTTCTCACCAACCTCTCGTTGCGTCAACCACTGGCAAATTCGGAGTACACAACTTGCTGGAGCGGCTACACAAAGAGCTCCTTGTGAACGAGCCCCTAAGCAACAAGCGGCCCAACATCCTTGCCAAATACAGAGACACAGATCTTATGTAATGTTGAACGTTGAGAGCAACATTAAGGTACGCAGCCAGTACTGACCTCAATACAGTAACAGTAGACAACTTCCCGTTGTTGAGAGTAATCAGCGGGCAATGGGATACAAAGCCAGTACCGCCTTCCAATCCATTGGTACCACTAAAGACTTGGTTCCCGCAAAATCTGCCTTGGACCACACTCTATCCTCGCCAGAGAACCTGACACGCATTGCCTTGGTTACACTCACCGAGAGTGCATTGACTGGACCACCGGGCTGCCCGTCTAAGTGGGGCGCTTCTGGCTGATACATGGCCTGCAATCAGAGTCGTACGTTGAGCAGTGTACGGGTGAACGTAGACCGACCAGAGGCAGGGCAATCACCACACCAACACTGACACGGTCAACGTCAAAAAACCCTGGTAAACTTGTCTTTGAGGTGAGAGGTAATTTGAACTTCATCTGCTAGCAACTAGCAGCAGATGGCACCCCTGTGTGAGTGAGAGACAGTGTATACATCATGCTTGATAGTATAATGTCCAAGCTTTTCTTATGCCGGTCGCAATCATTTAGTAGAACGATTGAAGCATACTTCACAAAGACGAGAAACAGAGAGAAAACAGTACAGGACAACCGAGTCAAAACCACCAGCATCAGCAAGAACTCATGAGCTTAGCTGGGTTATTCGAGAACAGCCTATGCTACCATCCGCGATTGGAAGCTAGGGCAAAATAACAGGACTACTTCTTAAGAAGCACCACCAAGAGCAATCTGGATCCGGAAATTGGAATATGACCATCATGACAAACGCACTCATTGGATGTAACTGCACTCATTGCACATCCAGATTACCACCAATGCATTGCTTCTTCGGAAAGCGTCACTTGAACGAGTTTGCTACTTTATCATTGATGTTTCAAAAACAGAGTTCAGCAACACCCGTTTCTGACAAGCAATGCATCTATTGCTGGATATAACATGAGATGGTAAATGCTAAACCCCTTTTACATTTCACATCACACAGTCACCACTTTACCTTCAAGGATGGAACGCTCGTTCCAGAATCAGAACCCTTGAATGATCTGGAGCTTGATTCAACGCCGCCTGCGCATCAGCACCACCGCAGCGTTCTCCCTAAGCTTTGATGCCAAGCTGGGTTTCCGTGCATGCCCTTGAACTGCACCTTTACCAGCAACACTCAGGTGCACAGACTTGGCGTCTCCTCAGAACCCCCCACTGCCAGAGCGTCAGCAGACAATCTGTGCAGTGCTCAACTAATAGCAAGGCAAACTTGCATCCTTCAGCCTTCAGGCTTCACTTTCTCTTCAAAACTAGATTGGGTACCGTAATACGCTCCATAATTACATAGTTACAGGAGTGGCCATCAACATTGGCTTTTATAACCGTCGATCACCGAAAGTAACATATACTCTGTTCATCGAACCGTCGATAGTTTCTGCAGAATGCAGACAAGCAACCAATCAGAGCTTGTCACATGTAGGTACATGGCTAGCTTCTTTCTCAGTTTCTGGCCTGACCAACCGCAATTCACGGCCTGCATCATGCTTCCAAAAGTTCGAACAGGAAGAAAGGTGCAATGGCGCCCATCCGAGTCTAGGATAACGAGAGACGGGTTGCAGCAACCTGTTTTGGAGGATGTTTCCAAGGAGTTGTGACATGATCTGCAACCTGATCGGTCTCGCTTTGTAGTAGGAAAACAGCAAAAGTAAGGGAGTATATTTTGGGGTTCTCAATTCTGCTCGACCGCGACCTGAATAGATTTCTAAAGGCCCATTCTAGGACTGATTGATCCTATTCCAGCTGCAGCTCGGTCAAGTAGTGACTTTATAGATTTGAGTTTTGACACCGGTCACCCTGGCCCAATCACAGTCTACCCAGGGGTTTCAGGCATCCCTTTCGAGGCCCACCAGGTAAGTAGAGCAGCGCATTCTTCCCTTCTCTCATACAGCTGCTGGAGCTAGAAATGTAGGATGCAATATCTGTTGAAGATGTTCAGGGTTTGGGAAGTATGCATTGCTGCAAGTTGCTGGGGGATCGCACATCATTAGTCGCCCTGTTCAGGATCAATGTAGGTGGTTTAAGATAGAAAGCAGGAATTGAAAGACAAGGGATACAGTTTTTGCGGCAACTAAGGTGACCTTCTTCATCACTTTTAAACAATCCCGTATAGATTCTTTTTCATTCTGGAGGCACAGCAGCAATACAATTCTCAAATTCCACATTGGGTTCTTTCACTTGTCTCCATGTTTTTATGATCGTGAAATCAGTCAATGCAAAGAAAGTCCGCTTCAACCACAAAGGAGCAAAGCTTTCAGAACATCTATTAACTATGGTGGCGTCGAGACCACAGGCAATTGTTTGACAAGCGTACTTCATTCAGACAGCGGCCCATCAAATCATGTCTGATTCTGGGGTTTCAAGATGGTTCTAGGAGCTTTTAACACTACCTATAACCATGAGAACCAGACCGTCTCGAGCAGAATGCTAACAAGATGGTAGCCTTTACAGACAGCTTCCTGGGAGACCAAAATCTGATGCAATTGGCAGACCAAGATTCACTCCAATTCAACCAAGCGACTGCCACGTCAATCTGGCCTTAAGTAAGCAAGGGATGTCTTAGAGATTACTATCCCCCGACGGCCAGATGGAAGACACAAAGTGCCATTTGCGCTTCCCTGCAGATGCAAAGAAAAGGGCACAAATGTCGAACAGCTCAGAGGTGGAGACTTTAGCTGGTTCAATGCGCTAGTTTTTAAAACTAGCTGACGAGAAAAAGAGCAATGCTACTTGCTTACTGCCGAGCAGTTTATGGCTCGGCATAGCCAGCCCAATTCCATAAGGATAAGGGAAAGGTTAGAGTAGTAAGCCCCGAGGTGGTCACCCCATTCGCTTCTTCCCCTTCGGTTCCTTCACTGTCCAATTCACTGAAGCCTCATTCTAAGTCAGACACCTTTGTAACCACATTATACCAAAAGTAAGCATAACAATTCTGGGTCTTGACAGCGAGCTCTCGCTGGCGTCGGGAGCAGAACTTCTCCCCGTTTCGCGGCGCCTGGCGTCGGGGCGCTCGTCGGCGGCCAACTCCGACATGGAGGACGACCCGACGGGGAAGTCCGACCTTGAGTCGGGGGCGCGCTCAAAGAAGATATACTCTGCCAAAAAGCCGGTCAACTTCTGGGTGAGTAGAGAAGCAACCCGCTTGGTCCAGTTGTCACAACTTGGCATTGCGCCTAGGAAAGCACTACTACTTTTGAATGTTCAACAAACTGGCATGTTCTGACTACTTTAGGCAGTACCTCAATGTGTCCTATGCCCAGGGTTTAGCAAGGCAAGCATACAGGATGCATAATGTAGGGCGCGGGGGCCGGGAGCTGCCTTTGTACTCTTTGCCCACTTCAGGAAAGAAGATCAACAACTACAGCGTCGCAAAGCTCAAAGTGCTGTCATGCATTGCGAAGATGAACACCTGTCGGTCAAGAGCAGATTGGATAATACCCCCACCACTTCTTGACCTGGCTGGCCATGCCAAGCTTTAGGAACTCGTCTCCGACGTTGAGTATACCATTGGTGCGCAGGAACCGTCAGAACACACCCCCATAGAACTCTCTTGGATCCAACAACAACCTGACCTTGCTGACCATGCCAAACTTTAGGAACTCCACTCCGACAGTCGAGTACTTCATTGGGGCGCAGAAATCCTCACAAAACACACCCCCATAGAACTCGCTTGGATTGAACAACAAATGGTCAAGTTCACTAATCCGTCTGCAGCTGCTGCGGGTGCTCTTGAGCGTCGACCGCCGGCTGTACTACTCGCTGGCCCTCGTGTCGTGCTTTGGCATGCTGTACATCGGCAGCAAGACGTCGGGCATCATCGTCTTCGTCCTTATCACGTGCGTGCTCAGCCTGCTCTTTGCGTGCTACCTCGCGCAATGGGTGCTCGCAAAGGACGAGGGACCCCCCGAGATGATTGAGGTGGGCCAGTTGCACCTCTGCGGGTTTGCTACTCTTGGATACTCTATTGTCATTCGTAGCTCTTCCAACCTAGCTGCATAATCAGTGGGCTCCTTGCCTACGAATTTTCGCTTAGAGTATTTGCGGAGGACGAGAGACCCCCAAAACGATTGAGGTGGGCCGGTTACATCTCTGCGAGATTGCTACTCTTGTAAAGTCTGTTTTCGATCATACCTCTTCCCAACTAGCTGCATGCTCAGTGGGCTCCTTGCATCCTACTTTGCTTTGCGAGTGGGTGCTTGCCAAGGATGAGGGAACCCCCGAGATGATTGAGGTGTGCCAGATGCTATCTATAGAATTGCTGGATCTCAGAAGGCTGATCGTTAGCTGTTTACAAGGGAAAGAGAAGTCAATTTTCGCAGCCACTTTTTGGAAGGCTCTGTAGGTGAGCTGTCGACAGATACCCTTCGTTGCCTCTATGACCAGCCAGCTGACGTTCCCTAAAAACTCACCCCTTCACACGTCACCCTAGCAGCTCCGGTGGGAATCTGGGAGATCCTCGTGTTATCTCAAACACATCGTTTGCCGCATTTGCAGATCTCCGATGCGATTCGGGACGGCGCCGAGGGCTTCTTCCGGACGCAGTACGGGGCGATTGGACGTATGTCCGTGTTCCTGGCGGTGGCGATCGTGGTGATCTACCTGTTTAGAAAAACGACACCCGAGCAGGAAGCTGCTGGGCTGCAGCGGTGAGCTTACAAACCATTAAGAAAAGTACGTTCATTTAAAGTTGATTCGAAGTATTAGTTGTCCCTGTTCGTAGAAGGCCGTCATGAAAAACCACCGTCATCGTCTCTTTTCGTCGTTTTTGGTTTGAATTCCACTGAAATGATTCCTCAACCCTTCTGTGACACAGTTTCCGGGCCGTGAGGTTCTGTCAGCATCTCAATCTACTGGCCTCTCTCATATCCTGGAGATGTTGACTCCCGACACAGATGGCTGGTCCCCAGTTCCTAAACGAGTTGAAGGTCACCCCCTAACCAAACGCGATCCTTCACTCATTGAGCTCAGTCAAACTTTACTCAAACTGCCCAGACCAAAGAAAACCCGTTTCCTCACTCCCTCCGGTCCACCAAACCCAATTTCTCGACTCCTTCGGGTTACCCTAACCCGATCCTCTGTCCTTTCAGGTCAACACTGGCCTTTATCACGTGCTTCTCCTTCCTGCTGGGCGCCGTATGCTCCGCGATCGCGGGCTACGTCGGGATGTGGGTCTCGGTGCGTGCGAACGTGCGCGTCGCGGGCGCGGCCCGGAGGTCCGCACGGGAGGCGCTGCAGGTTCGTATCCTTGTTGCTCCAAACAACGTGCCGCGTTTCATTTCGCATTATCGCCGTTGACGCGGTTCCATTATGTGACGGAATGCGTGCAGCTTTTTGGGAAATCAAGGCTCGACCTTATACCGTACTGCTTTCAACTTCGGCCCTTCAACGGCATATAATGAATCTTGAAATGTTTGAGAAACTGGGCAGACCCAACGTTACCTGCTAAAAAGAACCGTATCGACCATTATTGCGCTTGAATAATCAATTTAACCCATCGGCAGGCCAGATCCTTGCCTTAATCGGAAAGCAGTACGGTACTCTGATATCGAGCCCTCTGGTCGGGTTTCGTTCTGTTGGGTCCCTGACGGAACCAGCCATCAGTTGAACATTAGATTCACACTTACACCTCACCACTCACGTCACCCCCTCAGATTGCGCTGCGGGCCGGGGGCTTCTCGGCGCTGATTGTGGTGGGCATGACCGTACTGGGGATCAGCATCCTGTACTCAGCCGCCTTCGTCTACTTCGACGTTCGGGGCCTCAACTCCATGTACATGGAAGACGGTGAGCGCTGCCTTATGGTTCCGTGCTGGCCAAAGTTCCGCCTTTGTTCCGTTCCGGAATGAATTTTCGCCTATTTTGACGTCCGGGGATTTAACGTTTTGTACATGGAAGACGGTGAAGCGCTGTATTACCTTCCCATTCCTGCGGAAATGTTGCCACGGTTGTGATCCAGGACGACCTTGCGACGCGTCAGGTTCCGTTCTGGAATCTTGCCGCCACGATTCGTTCCTGAAAGACCCCCTGCGATTGTTGTTGAACTGTCCTATGAGTAGCGCACACGGATGGTGGTCGGAATATTGGACCTTGGCGACATTGGCTTTTGAAAAACGCGAAAACATGACTCAGCACTTTTGAGCGAAGCGAAGTTCTTGAATCCTCTTTTGGATGCCAAGGATTTTAATTTTCAAAAGACTCGTTACCTGGGACGCCGTCGAGTCGGGGCTTTATCCAGTGGAACACATACTAGTTGTGATGGACTCTGAAACCCAAATATATCTAGACTCGCACCCGGACTCTTTCCCTGGATTCTGAAGTCGTTCAAACCTTTGTGACACCCGTTATGTTTCTGTTCCAGTGCCTCTGCTGCTGGTGGGGTACGGTTTCGGCGCCTCCTTCGTGGCGCTCTTCGCCCAGCTGGGCGGGGGCATTTACACCAAGGCCGCTGACGTCGGCGCTGACCTGGTCGGCAAGGTCGAGCAGGGGATCCCCGAGGACGACCCCAGAAACCCGGCTGTCATCGCAGATCTGGTGCCACCCTTCATCTCATTACTTTGTTCTGCTTTGATTTTTCTAGTGACCTCCAGCCCGGATTCAGCCTTTGCCAGATTTATTACTATGGGTCGATTCTGTGCGCTTCAGCACAAGCTGGTCCCCTGACGCCAGATCTTCAGACGCCTCGTTTTCTACCATACTGAATGTTCAGTATGGCTAGTAAAATGAAATTCGTCAGCGGTCTCACCTCCAAATCGCGAGTAAACGGATGCCATCGTTTTCTTGGAGAAGGCGTTTGACCATGTGGTCCCGCCGTGGTCCCTGCGCAGTCGATCCTGCTCTAATCTGGTTGAGGACTCACTCATGTGGGACCACGTTTAGCGACGTCGAAGATTGGCATACGGGCCCAGTGGTCGCCGCAGAATTATAGGGTTTACGACGCCCTCATAACATTGTCGATTGACCTCACATTATTGGCCAATTCAGCGACTTTGAGGATGACGCTTTCAAAATGCGCGCAGATAGGAATTGCAAACGCCGCCTCAGCAGAAGTTCAAGTTGTTGAATCATCTGATTAGGTGTGTTCACCAGTTTCTGAAGTTCTAAGCGCTGGTCCTATTCTACAGGTTGGGGACAACGTGGGCGATTGCGCAGCGAGAGGAGCGGACTTGTTCGAGAGCATAGCGGCGGAGATCATCAGTGCGATGATACTGGGAGGGACTATGGCCAAAAAGTGCAAGATTGCAGGTCGGTAGACCCTACCGTGTTAGAGAACGTCAATGGCCCTTGATTGGAAAAAGTCGCTTTCTTCAATTGAGATCTGCCTTGCTTCAGGAAGATAAGCACACGAGTGCAGATATTCAAAACGCTTGTTCTCATCCAATGTTAGGCAGCCTGAAGTGCTTTATTCGATAGAGAATGTTCAACCACTTTTCTTGGGAACAAGAGCCGCCGCAAAGGTTGCTCGATCCGAGGATTCCAAGCGGTTATGCTCGGAACGGTTTGCTAAGCTTCTCGGATGTAAGTCGACAACCAAATGTTGTGGTTGACTCAATGTCCCGTTCTTCCGTTCTTTACCCTGTCAAATGTCCCCAGAGCGACACCCCGAAGGTCATGGCATAATTCGATTCGCTGAGGCAATGCAGTTTTTGGGTGAAAAGAAAGCGAGTGCGAAGACACTCGCACTCTAAACTCGCTTGAGATTCTTTCTTCTTGTGATTTACATCGTCCTGTGCATTTTGTCGAACACCGGATCACCCGCAAACTTCACACCACATCTCGCAAAACCGCCAAAACCCCTTCTCCGGAGAGCTAACCCTCTCTCTCTCTTCCTCCAGACGCCTCAGGTTTCATCCTCTTCCCGCTCGTCGTCCACACCTTCGACTTAGTCGTCTCCGCAATCGGCATCCTTTCCATCAAGGGCACGCGCGACCCGTCCTCCAAGAGCCCCGTCGAGGACCCCATGCTAGTTCTCCAGCGCGGCTACTCGCTCACGCTCTTTCTGGCCGTCCTCGCTTTCGGGGGGTCCACCCGCTGGCTTCTGTACTCGGAAGCTGCCCCCTCGGCGTGGCTGCATTTTGCGCTGTGCGGGCTCGTGGGCATTATCACCGCGTACCTGTTTGTGTGGATATCCCAGTACTATACCGACTACAAGTACCGCCCGGTGCGCGTGCTGGCCGAGGCGAGCACCACGGGTGAGCTAGAGTGTTTCAGCTTTTTGGGTTTCTTTTCCCGGCTATATCGTCTTTTGGCTGTCACAAAATCTTCCAGCTTTTCCACAGGGTTTTCCGAGCTTCGCAAATGAGACAGGCTGGTGTGACCCGGTCTTCTTTCTCTCTGCAATGTATCTACTAGAGGATTCTTCCAGCTTGTATCCTGGGGGTTTGCTCGGCAAGTTTTGCACTTTATGAAGCAGTATGAGTATCTGGTAGGTGCGGTGAAAGACCGCACCATTTGACTTAGTAATGGCAGGAGGGGAGCACAAAACGTTTGAGATGTTCTTCTTTCATTGTTTGTGACCATGTGTCCAGCACTTAAGCTGACGCTTTGCACCGCAAGAATGTTCTTCGTCCACAAAGGACGAAGGACCCGATCGTTGCAGGTGCTTGCGGAAACCTTCCCTCGCAGCGTTTCCTCGAGATTCGAAGCTCGTTCCGCCTTCATAGCTGTTCGTACCCTTCTCCGTAACGCCTCCTGAGACGCTTCAGCAAAGCTTACGAGAGCACGCAGGATCCTGGTGGGCTTCGACTCTGGCTCCGTAAATCTGTATCTCTTCCACCCATCAGAACTCCTGTCCTCCAGGCCACGGCACCAACATCATTGCTGGCGTCAGCCTGGGCCTGGAGTCGGTCGCCCTGCCGGTGCTCGTCATCAGCTGTGCCATCATCAGCGCATACTGGCTCGGCCGGACGTCCGGGCTAGTGGACCAAAGCGGCAACCCAGTTGGTGGGTCCAAGGTCTCTCTGGTCGGTTTGCGATGACCTAGAGCTTGGTTAAGATTCAGACGGACAAAAGGGGTTTTCTTCTTAGGAGTGGTGTCAACTCTGCTGGTTGCACAATGGTACAGCTTGTCAAAAGAGCTCCCCCAGGGACATGACGAACAGAACCCGTCGTTGACAAGCGATGAAACAGATGAGAAACCCACACAACACGAAACTTTCAGGGTTGATAACGTGTATCTGGGATGCATGAAACTAGAGTGCGCGTGGCTTTTCCGTTGGAGTGACGTCCTGTATGGGGATGCTTCGTTGAACCTCCGGTTCCTTCTCGTGGTCCAGTTGGGGGGTACTGGGCTGGGGCCACGACACTGACAGCCTCTCAATCTGGAGGCCCCCGTGCTTCGTTACAAACGATATCCTCTGTGCGACCACTCAACAAACCTGTGCTGCAAGTTGAAGTTGATTGTTCATTGTAGGATAACGGTTCTATACACTGCAGGTCGCCTTTTTGGCACGGGGGTGGCAGTACGTGCGTCAAAAATGCTCATCACGTCGTCTTTGTCTGCATGAACCTTATTATTTTACCTCCCTCATCAGGTGGGCTGTTTGGCACGGCGGTCGCCACTTTGGGCATGCTCAGCACAGCCGCGTACGTCTTCACTCTGGACGTGTTCGGACCGATTGCGGATCTCCCGCCGATGCAACCCAAAAAGTACCGTCTCAATTTGTATCAACCTTTTTCTCTATAGGTGGCCTATTTGGCACGGCGGTCGCCACGATGGGCATGCTCAGCACGGCCGCGTACGTCCTCACAATGGACGTCTTCGGACCGATTGCGGACAACGCGGGCGGCATCGTGGAGATGAGCCAGCAGCCGGACAACGTGCGCGAGATCACGGACCTACTCGACGCCGTCGGGAACACGACAAAGGCGACGACCAAAGGGTTCTCGATCGGGAGCGCGGCGCTGGCGTCGTTCCTGCTGTTCAGTGCCTACATGGATGAGGTGCGTGAGACGATACAGTCGAAGTTGCTTATATATTAGTCGGGTGAGATCAGCAGGGCGAGAGTGGGGAGAGATAACGGACTTGCTCACGTCGTTGGGAACATGACAAAGGGGACAACAAAAGGGTTTGTTTTTAGGATCACGGTTCTGGCATCATGCCTGCTGGACAGTGCATACGTGGACGTGGGGAGATTGCAGTTGTCAAGCTTCACGGGCATCCCTTTCGCGCAGATACTCACCGCCATCTCCGAGTCGTATCTGAGGCTGCTGGTGTCAACCCAGCGGCCCAGTATACCCCCTGCTGTTGACGCTACTCTTCTGCAGGTGTCCAGCTTCACTGGCGTCCCATTCACGCAGGCGCTCACCGGCAGACCCGAGGAATGTCGGTGTCTCTTTAACAAGCCTGTAGAACCCTTGCTTATCTTCACACAAAATTTTGCAGGTGTCCAGCTTCACGGGGATCCCCTTCACGCAAGTGGACATCGCCATCCCGGAGGTCTTCGTTGGCGGCCTGCTGGGCTCCATGCTCATCTACCTGTTCTCCGCATGGGCCTGCGCCGCAGTCGGGCGCTCCGCGCAGGAGGTGGTCAACGAGGTGCGGCGGCAGTTCCTGGAGAAGCCGGGGATCATGGTGAGAAAGTTGCTGGTTTTACCAATCAAAAGTTAAAGGGTTTCTTTTGGTTTCTGAAGAAGTCGGGAATGATGATGGGAAAACACCAGAATCTGACACTCTAGGATGTTGTTCTAGTTCCTGGAAAGGCTGGGGATTACGGGTGATAAGATTTCCCGTCCGGGTCTTGAAAGGTTTTGGGTTTCTCTGTTTCTTGCTGGAGAAGCCGGGAATCATAGGGAGAATCCGCTGGTCGTGGATGCTAAGGTGGGAGGGTTTTGATCCCCGGAAAAACGGGAGAGGATTGATGAGTGAGCATCGGCTTTTGGTGACGATCGGCAGTTCACTCTTTCCTGATCATAACGGAAGGGGCTTGAAGTGCATCTGCGGAACGGGCAGCTCGCGAGTCGTTTCCATCGGACGTCACTCCCAGACATCAGTCTTCAAGCTTTTACTCAATATAGATTGTCATTGCGTGCTCAGACCGTTCTGACTTAGTTACTCGTGTTCCAAGCTCGATGCGGTGCTCGGAAGATTTCAATGGCTTCTTTGAATTTAGGTCAAGGTTGTTCGCGGTTTGGCAGTACCGCTTCCCAACCGCGGCACGCACATCAGCAAGTATAAGGACTTGGTCTGGCCCAGCATCAGCCGTTGGAGAAGTGAAGCCTATCGAGGCCTGATCGTCAACTTCCATATTCTTTCATCCTCACCCGTCAATGCAATCTGCTCAGTCAACCCAAATGCTAGGATCCCGGCTTTCTTTCTGCTGAGACGTTGCCTTAGCTCTTTTTTCTACCCTCCGCAGACGTACCAAGAAAAGCCCGACTACGCGCGGTGCGTCTCCATGGTGGCCACGTCGGCCCTGCGCGAGATGGTGAAGCCCGGGCTGCTGGCCGTGGGGTCCCCCATCCTAGTTGGCATCGTCTTCCGGATAATCGGCGCGTACTCGGGGCAGAGCCTACTGGGCGCCAAGGCTGTGGCGGGGATGCTCATGTTCGCCACAGTGTCTGGAATCCTGATGGCGCTGTTCCTGAACACGGCGGGCGGCGCGTGGGACAACGCCAAAAAGTTCATCGAGAGCGGGGCGCTGGGGGGCAAGGGGAGCGACACGCACAAGGCGGCAATCACGGGGGACACGTGAGCTCTTTCGTCTTCTTCCATTGAGGCAACTGCGCTCGTTTCACATTTCTCCATGAAGCACACGTGATCAGAAGCCATTCTGGTTGTGTGTGTCGTGATCCTTGGTTGCTCAAAGACAAGTCTCCGAGAAGGCGTCATGGGGTAAGATCTGTCGGTGAAGATTGTTACAAGGTGGAAATCTGGCATGGCTGTAATGGTTCTGGTGGTCATTCTGCTGGAGCTGTGGACTTGAGGGCGACGAATTGACCATCTAAGCAAGCGGTCACGTCCAAGTACAAATGGTTGTTTCGATCTGTGCAAGGGACCCGGCGATGTTGGTATCCGGTCGCTTATGCGCGAAGGTGCTTGGGGTCAAGAGGGTCTCGTACAAGTCTGCAGTCCGGTCGATGACGAGAATGACGAGGAGCGGAGTCACTCGTGTGCGGAGTAGATTCACTTCATAGGTATTTCGTTTCGCTGTATTATTAACTAGGACAGAGCACTTGCCTCAAACTTTGTTGGTTTGCCTCTTTGCAGGGTAGGGGACCCGTTCAAGGACACGGCGGGGCCCTCCATCCATGTTCTGATCAAAATGTTAGCAACGATCACACTCGTCATGGCTCCTCTCTTCTTGGATTGAGCTACCTTTTTCTTGTTGCACCCGAAAGGGGCAGAATCTGTGTCATACATACGTTTCCACGCGACAAGGCTTTCGTACTTCAAGACGATTAGAGGCTACCCCAAAGGTCTAGAGTTGCAAGTCGCGTCCGCATACTTTTACGACGATTGTTGAGATGATTGCCTTGTACACTACGGTTACAATGAGATGGTATCCTCAACGTGAATCAAACAATCTTGACCCCAGTGCCCAGATACTTGACATTGCAACGAAGTCGTTTATTCAACTAATACTCCATTATGAGTTCCGAGTACTCAAGGTCGATGCATTGCCTGCTCCTTCCTTTGAAAAATACGGCCCAGACCGCCATCCCAAATTTCAAGTTCGGATATGTCGAAAGACTGGCAGGTGCCTAGCATCAAACTGCGCCTGGGGAGCCTGCAAAACATTGGCAGTAGTGCCCTCATCAGTGAAACCGAAAAATGCTGGATGAGGGCAGAGTAACACCAATACGAAGGATGAGTTGACGTATACTCGTCTTATTGCTAGACGTTTGACGTACGCCTAGCTTGCGTCATGAGGTTAGCCGTCTGGATATCTTGATGGGGCCTCGCATATGCATGACCGACAATATACATATGTATAAGAACGGTGAACAGAAACCGGGCGCGCATGATAGCCACGATTTGATGCCAAGGCTTTCACTGCGCCGCCCCAAGATTTAGTTACAAAGTTTATACAGAGGTTACCAGGGTACCACTGAGCTTTACAATTTACCATGACATTGCAATCGTGATGTTATGATCCTGTATTGTGAACTCATAAGCGACCGATCACAATTCAATTCTTCAATATGTACCTACGTACTAGCCAAGTTGGACAAGCCCGATTTTGGTCGCTGTCATCACCGTCCATACTGTCAACATTCGAAGATGGACGCAGTCCAAAACATACCGCTTCTTGGGGCATCGCAGTGAACGCCCGCTCAGGGACTGCAATTTGCAACCGTAGTCTGCAGTCGGCAAATGCCAGTCCAAAAAAGGCCTATTTGAGCCAAACGCCCTAAGCGGGCCACTGGCTCAGCTAAGCCGTTGGCTTAGGCTCACTTGTTAGTAGTTAAGGATTGAACGCGGGCATCACAGCCTCTGGGCCCCATGCAAACTGCGGCAACTATACGGGCCCGCCCGACGTCGTCTGTGAACTAGCCTCAACTCAGCGGGGGGGTGCGGGGGGGCGCAGCCCCCCGCCTTTTTCTTGTGGTGAAGTGGGCCACCGACAGCACACGATCCGGCAAAGAAGATTGAAGCAGCAAAAGAAAGGCGTGCCGCTTCACGTACTGTGGCAAAAGTGTTGCGTGTTTTCATCCAGGCTCGAACTGGAGACCTTTCGCGTGCCATGAAGTCGTGCGGACTCCAATGTTAGGCGAATGTGATAACCAACTACACCATGAAAACCGAGATGGGACAATGGTCCTCGCTTTTACATATGTACAAGACCTAATGAAGGTGCATGGGCGCCCCCCCGAACCCCCCCGCTTCAGTGAACGACCTGTGTCTTGCGGAGTCAACAGCGCAGTCAACTTTTCGAAC